TGAATATAGACAGAAATAAAATAGTAAAAATAGTAATTTTACTGGAGTTTCCCGAAAGGATATTAGTATTAAGATCATCTGGTAGAAACTGCTAGAAAAAGTGTTCGGTGTTATACTAGTTTACCAGTTTACTAGTTTATACTTTTATGAATAATCTTTATGCTAAAATGCTTTTGGGGCCACTCGCCCAGGACAGTGAAAAAACATTCTTAATTAAGAATGGAAGTCACTGTAAAAAAGATATTTCCCAGTAATTCTGGAGTATTTCTATTGGTCCATTCCTCATGGAGCTGTCATAAAGGCCAGCTGCTGGTTTCAAATTATGCAAAGAAATTAGATATTATAATATTAGATATTATATAGATACACAAAATGTTATAGATACCTATATTTTATAAATATTTGATATGCTGGGTTTTATTATTATTCTTTTGTAGATAACGAGTAGGTCCTATGTTTTTTACCTGTATTTTTCCAGGGACACTTCATTGCCATCAATATCCGTGGCGGTGAACTCATAAATAGACTTGGCCGTCTGCCAATCCTCCACCTGTGCAGACTGAAAGATAAAGGAACAAGAGAAAAAACATAAGCTTTTCCTCTCTTGAGGAGAGACAGAAGACAGTCCCAACAAACACTATATGATAGCTTCCTATCTCTGGATCATCTCATGAGAGCGTGTCTGAAGGCTGGAACATGCACAGGTCATGTCTGATTAGGCTTCAAACAAACAGAAGTGACTCTCAGCACACTTACCATAGCCTGCAACACGATGGAGAAAAGGACAGCGGAGCCTAGGAAGTGCATGCCTGCCTTTCAGTAGCTACTGAAACAGCAGACAGCGCATGACACCAAATCCTCCTCTAAAACCGCTGAATTCCCCACAATCCCTCGCACAGGATCAGGGCTTGTCATTTATAGAGGTCAGAACAATCATTAACTGGGCACGGAGGCTGTTTTTCTCTAAAAGGTTGTTTTTATGCTGACAGAGAGGAACTGAGCTTTCAGTATTTCATAATAAAGTGTTTATTATCTATGTGTGGAGGCAGAATGTACTGTGAACACAGGGCACTGATGTCAGCCTTACACAATCTGAGCGAGAGGCAGCTGATAACAGCAGTGATATCAGAGCTGCTGTATGAATAACTGCTGAATAAGTGCTGTGTACCATTAACAGCTGCATTTACACTGATCACACCCAGATTACTGTCCTGCATAGAGAGTCTACCTAGCTTTAACTTCCACAGATTTTTAATGCACAAAGTCTTTTATTTTGGAAACCAAACTAAGACAAATATTACAAACTACTGGCAGCAAAAAATAATGACTAGGCCTCGTATAATATGATTTTGTTGCTGTTGCTGACACTGTGCTTGATCGGTTACACCTGGATAATTGGCTTTATTATTTATTTCTGTTAAAATATTTACTAAACTAATGGGATAGGATAATGAAAGTAGGAAATGAAGGACAAAGAAGTCAATTGGACTGTGAGTGGAAAATGAGTGATAAAAAAGTGGCATATTGTCTGACACTCTGCTTAACCACTAGTGGGCAGCCTGGAAAATGCTGAGCAAAAAGTCAATGGGCCGCCAACAGTGGCCCACTATCCTCTTGCTATCTGAGTTGAGCCATAATTGCTCCAATAACATCCATCACAGTTCAGAAAGCAAAGGTTTTCACTCTTTAAGTTCAAACAGTCAAGCAGGCGTGAACTGAATAAGCAAATTTTGAGTTACATAACTAACATGTTTTCAAGATCATTTCATCATTTAGATTCCAAATAACTTTAAACACATTTATCAACTCATCTCGCATTCTTTGCATTTGTTAAACACTTTTGTAAACTTTAGGGACACACAGGCCCAAATAAAAAAATTAGCCATGGCTACATCAGCTGTGAACATGCTACAGCAGTGATGCAGCAGTCTCTACAGTGACATTTTCTAGTTTAAAGACTAGAAAACCTCCTTTCTGGTTATATATCTTGAAGGTGGGTCGACATTTTGTAAAACTACAACTGTTTCGGGGGGATATTTGGGGGTGGGCTGTTTTCATTTTTCCCTGCTATCTTGCAAATGCAGAAGGAAGGTCAGAAAGCTAGCTAATGCTTCTTCTAGGAAGCTGAATATCTTTTTACAGCCTTGTAAGGCTGGTAACTGTATTTAAATCATGACTACAGTGGACAGAATTGATTACTCAAATGAAAGCAGCTAGTTAGCAATGTCGCTAGCTGTCTAGATATCTTTCCTCAGTCTGGCTTCCTTTCTCTGCCTGAAAGGTTAGACGGACTTGTCTCTGGTGTCCATTTTGTGCTGAATAAAGATTGAAATAGCTGTGTTCTTTATGATTTTGCTTGACAACTGAGGTAGGAGTCACATTAATGTTAGCTGGGTTGTATTTATTAGCCTTTGCCCAGTGACCAGGCTAGCAGTCAATATTGGTTGTATAAGATATTTGTGTAATGCATTCTGGGTACTGTAGTGAAAGAACACTAAGGCACAAAAACATGAAAACAGTATATATATCAATATAAAATTGTAAATTCTGTCAAACAACTGTGGATGACGGATAAAATGCAGTGCTACAGAATACTGCACAAAACAGCAAATATGCTTTTAAACTTAAACTAAGTTTTAGCCTGGAAACTCATTAAACTGTCAATAGCTAGCATAGAAGCTAGGTTAGATAGGTTAATTAAATGAAGAGCTTAACTGAAAGATTCGTTTTTTTCAGATTAGCTTTACGAACCAACTAAAGCTGTTGAAAGGTGCCTTCATAAACTTGTATTTTTGCAGTTTGACCTTCCTTATGCAACCGTTCACAAAATCTCTATGTTAAACTGGCATGCTAAAATCTCAATGCTAGCAATTAAGTCCTTAAAAACATAGAGTAAATCACAGCAGAACCATTTTACACACTACTTTACCTGACAAAGCTTTATAAATTGTATAGGCTGCAATTGAAACCATAGTTCTACCAAATACTGTACAAACAGCATAAAACTCCAATACATACCATCGCTGACATTATCCCACTGCCTGCCAGAGTGCTGAAGAACAAAACACGGTTAATAAACTGCATTTTTGCTGTTTTCATCTCCAGAACTGTAAATGTGCACTGCAGAGGCGAGTTACATCACAGCCTGGATGTGTGGGATCAGGCAGTGAAGTAAAAAAACAAAAGCTCTTTCTTCTCAGGCAGTGTTGAGTAACAGATTTGGAAAGAATCCCAAATATTTCCAGCCCCCATATTCAGCAAAACACAACAGCTTTAGAGAAAGACCCCCTGCCTGTGTATAAAAACAAGAGCACAAAGCAGCAAGCTGAGTAAAAACAAAGCTCACACCAATGGATGCGCCACTATATATAATATACAGGACCACAGAGCAGGTACTATTTGGGTGGTGGATCATTCTCAGTACTGCAGTGACACTGACGCAGTGGTGGTGTGTTAGTGTGTGTTGCGCTGGTCTGAGTGCATCAGACACAGCAGTGCTGCTGGAGTTTTTAAACACCTCAGTGTCACTGCTGGACTGAGAATAGTCCACCAACCAGAAATATCCAGCCAACAGCGTCCTGTGGGCAGCGTCCTGTGACCACAGATGAAGGACTTAAGGATGATTAACACAAACCGTGCAGCAGTAGACGAGCTACAGTCTCTGACTTTACATCTACAAGATAGACCAACAAGGTAGGAGTGTCTAATAGAGTGGACAGTGAGTGGACACTGTGTTTAAAAACTCCAGTAGCACTGCTGTGTCTGATCCACTCGTACCAGCGCAACACACACTAACACACCACCACCGCGTCAGTGTCACTGCAGTGCCGAGAATGATCCACCACCCAAATAATACGTGCTCTGTGGTGGTCCTGTGGGGGTCCTGACTATTGAAGAACAGGGTGAAAGGGGGCTAACAAAGTACACAGAGAAACAGGTGGACTACAGTCTGTAATTGTAGATCTACAAAGTGCACCTATAGGGTAAGTTGACATAGAGTACAGATACAAGAAGGAGGTTTTAATGTTGTGGCTGATCAGCTTGTATTTCTGTGTAATTTTGGTTTGGGTCACTTTATTTGATATTAGCTAGACTGTGATGTAAATAGACTTCAGGGTTGGCCATGACATGATTTCCATTTGCAAAGCAGCAATTCCATTTTTGGCAGCGGTTCAAATGTTGCTCAGTGACATTAAATCAATATCCCTGATAAATCTTGCAAAAACATCATTTTATTTGTTGATATTAATAGTAAACATTGGCCACAAAACAGAAAAGTCCTGGAATGTAGGGCCCAAAATCATTCTTTTCTAGATAGAGCATAGGGAGCAAGTGAACTATACTAATTTGAAACACGGTTCACAGATCTTAGAATTTGTTAGAAACCACCAAGCATTGTTTAGCACCTCAGACAGTCCACTTTAATGGCCTTTAACTTTGGGTTCCCCTGCATTATGTGTGTGTATTCATTCATGAAAATATCTCCTAAATGCCAAATCCCTTGTTCACTCTTTCACTCAATCCCTACGCCCTATTTAGAAAAATCTCTGCAGATTTCAGACACTGTATTCTAATATGCTCCAGTAACTTCTGGGTGAGAGAACAAAACGTATCAGCTAGATGGAAAATATTATGCATGTATAACCTGAAAAAATACAGTATTTTAATTTGTCTGATAAAGTCAGTCACCCCACCTCAGTTTAAATAGAACTTGCTGAACCTCAAATGGCTCCCTACTCCCTACATAGTGCACTACATGAGTCACAAAAGAATGGCTTTAACGATAATACAAGACGTCCAATAGGAAAACGTGCAGCCTATAGTTGAAAATCAAGATTCCTTGGACATTTGATGCACTATTTGAATGATGAAGGCATGATTTCAGGGTCTGTGCAGTGCACTATGTAGGGAGTAAGGAGCCATTTGAGATTCAGCCAGGCTGATTTCTACGCTAAGCTCCGCCCCCAACTTCCAGCGTCTGCGCACGTTGCGGCGTCATCTGCACGCGCCGGCCAGGGAGAGACGTAAACACTCGCGTGTCAGCTTATCAATATTGCTTATTGACATGGATGATGAAGAAGAAACGTACAGACTGTGGAAAATTCGAAAAACGATCATGCAGGTGAACCGAGAGGCGCTTGAACACTTAACCAATGCGGAAAATGTAACTTTTCTTTTTAGACGAGGCTGAAGTTTTCCAATTTCCCCGTTCCACCTTAAATGGTGCAGCAGTTGCAGTACATGCTGGCGCCAGAATGTCACTTCTACACCATTTAAGGTGGAACGGAAAAAATTCAAATAAGGAGCTAACTTCAGCTGCGTTCTTTGTAGGTAAAAGGAAAAGCAGTTTAAAACAATCGTTTTAGTTCAGTTTCATTCATAGTCCATTTTACAACACTGTAACAAAGCCGCTTTACACTTTTACAGTACGTGCTGAAAGTGCACTGGCTTTCAGAGACATCCCCCCTGATTCCTTCTGACTGGTAGACACTGCTGAACTACAAATAGGCTAAATATTACCTCACGTTTCGTATGCAAACCTTAAAGCAGGCTAAGAGTGACCGATCCTGTGACAGCTCTGACAGCATCTCTGAAGATGACTAAGCCGTTGTTCCTTATTTAAACAAAAACAAAAATCAGCCATTTCACACGGTGACTTCCATTTTCCAGCTCTGCCATGACCGGGGCTACTTGGTGACACAAGACGAACTGGATCAGACCTTGGACGAGTTCAGAAGTCAATTTGGAGACAAACCGAGCGAGGGTCGCCCACGGCGAACTGACCTCACCATCCTAGTTGCCCACAATGATGATCCCACTGACCAGATGTTTGTTTTCTTCCCTGGTATGTCAGGCACCTGATCAGTCCACTCAAGCTGCCTGCCATCAGTCCTTTACCACAAATGCAGTCATACTGAGAGTGTGAGAGAAATCAAGGTAGACCCGAATGTGGGGTTTACCATCAGCTAGACCTTTTAAATGAGTGTGACTGAAATAAAACACGATCAAAATGGTGGGAAAGATGGATGATCACAAACTTTTCCAATCACAATTATTAAAATAATAAGTCCTTACAAAAAAGGTCCTTTAGTGCTTGGTCCTTGCTTCATTAAGATAAATGAATATAAGGCTGTCTCAATCATGAACTTTTAGCCAACAATTAATTGTTGTATAAACAATTTTGATGGACCAATTGAATTGTTTTCTTCCAAATTAAAATACAACCTTTAAAGTGGCTGATTAGCCACCTTATGTGCTAGCTGTGTTTACTGTAGCTGACACTGGTTGTACTGTCAAATCAACACTCACAACAAACATTTACAGTTACAGAGAATTATGTGTACAGATGAGCACAGCTACCTGTTCTTTATGAGTGAAAATATAAGCAAAAACACAATGATTCTGCCCAAAACATTAGAATTAGCTACATAGTTAACAATAAACTAGCATTCCTTAGCTCTGCCATCTAAACATGTTAGAGCACCAAGTTAGAACCAAGTTAGTTTGTTTTTATAATCCACATGATGTGTCTCAATGAAGGCATTTACTTCTTTCTTTTATTTACCTTTATTTGCCTCAACCCAACAAACCCAATTCACAGTTTATTTGTTGCCACTTAATTTACCTGTAAAATCTAATGACTGTTGGAAAAAAAGCTGAAATATTTACGATTATCTCAAATCATTTCAATTTGGAGATTGTGTAATGGTTGTGGTAGGCCCAATGAATAACACTTGTAATGAAAGATGGGATATATGTCATGTTTTCAGCTCAAAAATGACTGCACAGTTCAATCACTGAGATGTAAATAAAGTCATTCAGAGTAGTATAATGTGAAATGATTCACTGTTTAATAAGTCTTTAATGATTTCTTTACAGTGGTGGTGATAGGAACCCAGGTCTACAACACAAACATTTTATTTACTGTCTAAGAAAAGCAGTGAACCCATGTGAGTCTTCTGAGTTTTTATAGGTAGCATTGATAATAATGAAATAATGGGAAATTTTAAAAACTGCCTGCTTTTTTCTCCTCATAACATGTATTTAAAAAATATTTTTCAGGTAAAAAGCTTGTTGCAAAACTATGATAAAACAATGTCAGGCAGTAAGGGAGCTTTAGATGCAGACGTCTGGTTCCTATCACCACCACTGTGAACAATTCTGACTCGGTAAGTTTCTCCAGAATGGATTATTTCACACCAAACCACTCTGAATGACTTTGTTTACATCATAACTATTTAATTATGCAGAAAAAGATTACATGGAATTTCTCTTTAACACCCACTCAACTTTAATGCCTTCCTGTGAAAAAAACCCTAATCCGCTATTCTTTGATTGCACACAGAGGAGCCCAAAGTTGGAATTAAGACCATCAAGATGTACTGCCAGAGAATGCAAGAAGAAAACATCACCCGAGCCATTATTGTTGTTCAGATGGGTATGACGCCTTCAGCTAAGCAGGTGAAGCCCTGAATACATACTTTGCTATTGTTTAATGGCTTTTAAACACTACAGGCTAACCATGTTTCTGTGTCACCTTTTCAAATCCCAGTCTCTAGTCGACATGGCGCCCAAATACATACTTGAACAGTTTCTTCAACAGGAGCTTCTAATTAATATCACTGAACACGAGGTGAGGGCTTTCTCTAGTTTCTAACTGCTGTGCTTTTCATTTATGCATAAATGTGATCTGTTCTTTATTTCTTTTCAGCTTGTACCTGAGCACATAGTGATGACTAAAGAGGAAGTTTCAGAGCTGCTGGCACGATAGTATCTTTTGAAACTGGCACCACTCGTTTCCTGTTTCACATTAAGGTCACAATAAGTGTCATTTCATGTTTCTGTAAGAAAATGGGCAGAATACATTGGTGTCTATTGTTTTTGTGAAGTTCCCGTTTCCACACAGTCATGTGTTTGCGCGTGTGTTGGCGTGAATTCACAGCTGATAAAAACAGTTTCTTTGCTCCTGAGGGTTCCTTAACAACCTCCACCAGTAAACTAAAGGAAAGCCAACTGCCCAGAATCCAAGCTGGGGATCCTGTGGCTCGCTATTTTGGCCTGAAAAGAGGCCAGGTAAGGAGACCTGACAGGTCAGTAGCACCAGCAAGCAGTATGTTTTGCTGCATGCATTTAGCAGGAAGTGTAAACAGCACCCACCGCTGAGGTTATCTGTTACCAAAAAAAAACCCCAGTCTTCTCTTTTGCTCTTTTTCAGGTTGTCAAGATTATTCGACCAAGTGAAACTGCGGGGCGATATATCACATACAGACTGGTTCAATGAAACTATTTTTATCTAAATGAATAAGCCAGTGAGCATTAACTGAGTTAGTATTCAGGTTTTAAAGATGAATTTCACTGATTTTTCAAACATTTTGCATAATTTAATGGTTAACAAAGTCATTCAGAGCGGTTCAGTGTGAAATTCTCTGTTCTAGAGAAACGTACAGAGTCAGAATTGTTCACAGTGGTGGTGATAGGAACCAGACATCTGAAGAGTTTAACACCTCTAAAAGCTCCCTCACAGAAAGTTATTACATGAAGTTGTTATATATACATTGTCTGATGTCTGACATATTGTTGTGTGATAGTTTTGAGATGTGATTTTGGCCTAAAACATATATTTTTTTAAAATACGTTCATATCAGTCGGGCACATACAGGTGAAACATTCCTTACCGTCCTCAACATTACAAATAAAACATGTAGGTTCACTGGTCATTTTAGATAGTAAATTAAATGGCTGTGAGTCTGTAAATTTCACTCGGCTGTATGATTTCACATCAGACCACTCTGATTGCCTTTTTTTACATCATTGAATTATGCAGAAATTTTGAAAAATTGGTGGAATTCCCCTTTAAGGAATAGTTTGGTGAAAAATCAAATTTGCAAAGTATTCCTTTCCCTCCAAACAGTCAGTTGGCCAAGACATATTTGGTGTCTGAAGTTTGCTTCTTTAGTTTTGCATGGGAGCTACAAGGCTAATGTAGTTTGCATAATGGAAGCTTATAGTTTTTCAATCAGCACTGTGCAACCTACATGCCTAAATCATCGCACTCTTGCCTCAAACCATGTCGATTTGTTAATTCATCTCAAATAGACGTGCATATGTGGCTTCTCTAATACTTTCACTATTAAAATGTTTTATATAATGTATTAAAAATCATGTAAATATATTTACATTTTCTAAAACAATCCATGACCATATAAGCACATCACCAATAAATACAGTAGAACTGTGGAGTTCAAACAACAAGTGAACTTCAAAACCCAGGGCTTTTTGTCATCCATGTGACAGACATTGTCTGTTTTGGGAAAACACTCATTAAAAACCGTGTTTCTGCCTTTTACTGTTAATAATCTTATCACTGATATAATATCAAACATAACTACATCTTAAACCTCACCTCTAAATCTTTGTCAGCCTGTGTTTTGAACTAAAATAGCAGGGGGCGATCTGACCACTTTCCTTCTATATAGAACTATACAGAAGTCATGTCGTGCCCATATTAGGAGCTCCAGGTCTAAACTGGTTTCATATCAATGCACAGGAGTGTTGGTGTGCTATTAGCATGGATGTAGTATTCTTTGTATTTTGACCTCTTAATGACCTTGTAATTCAGAAGATCCAGTGATAATCAGGTTGAAAATGTGCACAGGGCAAAACATACCAGCTTTGGAACATTTTTGTGTACTATAGTGCGGCGAAAAAACAAATGTAATTTTTTCCCCATAGAGAAAACTGCTTAGATCCTGTGTCCTTGATATGGGCGTGACATTGACCACAGAATAATGCATGTTCTGCTGATTGACTACATTTGGGGTGAAAGGGGAAACTGTGTAAAGTTGATTCTTCACTGAACTACAGTGTAACTGTTTACGTCCTAGCACTTTAAACCGAATTGACTGCACATTGTTTGTGTGATTCAACTTAAGGTATTTACCAAAGTTTGTTAGAGTAAGGAAAACAATGTGCACTGTGTGGAGTCCTACTGACTGACACTGAGAGCCACTTTTAGAGACAATGCATTTCAGCCTAATACTAAACAACAGTAATAATGCAATAAGAACTCCTTAACCTGTCATAGTTAAATCCTTGGTTCTGGATTCTGCCTGCACTGCACATGTAGTTCTGGATCAAGTACACTTGATTCAACCCTTTAATCTAACTAGCAAGCCATAGATCACCAAGGGGGTCAGTTTCTTGGGCAGAGATTCAGCCTATTTTTAGACTAAATTTTCTTTTCAATGGAGACTCTCCGTTCAGAATGCCGTGCAGTTTTGTACATTTCAGGGAAATCCTGGGCCAATGTTAAGAAACGCTGGTCTAGGTTAGTCAGAGTGGGGCAGTTAGCATGTTAGCATGCTCCTCCTAGCTTACTGGCTGCAACTGTTATTATTGGGATAGAAATGGGATAAAAGCACAATGTATTCATAACTATTTGCATGCAAAAAAGGGGAAAATATGATTAATTTGGCCTTGCATAACTTTGAACATAATGCAGCTATGGTTAGGCAATATGACAAGATTTTATCATTATCATGATAAATTATGTTACAGTATTCTCTTCTGAGCATAGCGTGGATATCGTCAGTACTTAAAGAACACTAACTACATTTCGTTACAAACCGAGCATAATTAGGCCTGTTTAATTGGATTCAGTGCAACACGGTTTGTAAAAACATTGAATAAAAATCATCGATCTACTCTAAACTTAATATTGTGATACTTTGTGTATCGTAAAATGTCTCGAAGTATTGTGATATATTTTTGCCATATCACCCCTGAATGCAGTGCGTATTTTCTTTCTTCCATGTATGATTTCATTGACTTTACTGCCTGTCTACAGTCTTTCTGAAGGCTGAAGTTACAGGCTGACCATTTCTGTACCTGCCGCCACATGAATCATTTATCTTGTAGAACTGTTCATTCGTTTTTTCCTTTTTCCTACAGCAAATATTTATTAAGCCATTGATAACAGTGTTAATAAAGTCTTATTTATTGAAGGAGCTATGCTGTCATGTCCTGTAAGTCAGGGAACAGAAGCCACTAACCTTTTTTTTCCTCCAGAAAGCCATCAGGTTGCCTACGTCAGTAGCCGCTGCACAGTTAAACCATCCACACAGTGTGCTCATTTTAAGTGAACCCAGCCTTGCACTTCACTGAATACGGTTTGGTAAGTGCATGTTCCCTTTGTGGCTCAATTTGCATGGGTTACAACTCCTCCCTCTTCACCATCCAGAAATATACTCCACTGTTAAAGCAGGAGTTAAACAGAGGTGAGAGTAACAGTTCCCTAAGCGTGTTTACATCTAATGTGAACGTTATAGGCCCACATCAGAGTCAGCTTTTGAATGTAGTGCTCTGCCGAGGGAGGAAGAGTAGTACTCTCTTTCTCTCAATTCGCTCAATAACAGGTCTGAATATTTCTAGACAGACCTTTCCAGAAGGAATGCATAAAGCCAGCGGGGAAGCTTCAGCGCTTTTAGAGATGGCCTCAAGATTTCTTGGAACTAAAAAATACATCTGTGATTTTTAGAGCATTTCTATTTAATAGAATCATCATGCTTTTTGTATTTACACTGCAAGTATTGCAATAATCATAGTCATAATCATGCAATAGTCATATTTCATTGTTTTGATGAGAAACAAAAGGGTTCCAATATCGACACGCCCAGCTGAATATTGTCCAATCAGGATTTATTTTCTCAGTGGTCTCTGTGTTGCAGCCAAACCAGCTGTGCCATCATTTTTTTTGTGAGAAAAAACATCACTGTAGACCTTCTGGAAGTTCTAGATACTTGAGTGGCTGTGAATATGAGTGGCAGTCTAACCAGGATTCGGTCAGTTGTTTGGAACGGGACTAGGGCCGAAGGATGAATCGTTTTTATATTAAAATCGAATTTAAAAGAGCTGCAATTTTAGTATACAACACCTCATCTACAATGTTGGCTTAGCAAGTTTTAAATGAGGAAATCTGACATAAACACAGAGCTTGTGAACTATCTGTAGACAAGTTAGACCCCATGTGTCAAACACAAGGCCTGTGGCCCAAGTCAGGCCCGTGACAGTCCTATTCGGCCCGCGAAATTATTTTAATTTTCTGTTCTTATCAGCCCATTTCACCCTGAGATGCACTACACATTAGCATCGTCATAGAGGTATTTTCTCTTGTTGATCAAGTTTTGACATTTATGGCCCAAATTGTAGACTTAGATCTAATAGTATTGGCTCCCACTGAAAAAAACATGCAAATTACATATGTTTTTGGTTATTTTTGTGGGACAATAAGTTAACACATCCTTTACGGGGACTGGAGCTAAATATGGCATTTTTCTGCACAATGTTTTTATTTTTTTGCCAAATTTAACATCAAACATAAAATATAAAATGTGCCAAAACTTTTGCACAGGCCACATTTTAGATTAGATTTTTTCCCCATTATGTTAAATTCAGGAAATGAAAAAGAACTGTGCACTAAAGTGTGCAGAAGTGTGTTCTCTGTAGAGGATGTGTGAATTTAGTTTCACTTAGGAAAAAAAACAAAACATGTACTTTGACCAGAGCCGTCCAAACTTTTTGCATACAACTGTGTACGGCATATAAATATGCAAATTCAGAGTGGAACCCACATAACCCCACACTGCGTTTTACAGAAACGTTCTTGCTGTTTTATTTTTATTTATTAAAAGTATAGTATAATAAAGCAATTTATTTGGCAGAACAACACATTTGTGAGCATTTCACGCGATGTGGTTTTGGTAATAATGAAAAAACTTGCATACTAGAAGTATGAAAAGCATGTGGTCTACTGAAGCGTCATAAAATAATACTAAACTGAAAACTGCTTGAAATCAGGAAAGAATAAGATTCACTTTCAAACCCTTGCACAAGCAATGGCACTAAAATCATTTAAATATCTGTTCCATCATAAAACTGTATTGATATGTGGTTAAGAGGAACACTGTCACATTCACAGTCCTTAAAACCACAGTCCAGAAGCAACATGCAAATCACGTTAAGACACATTCATAGATGACCACAGTGAGGGCTTCCAAACATCTCCATGGAACAACCATCATGGTAATGTGGCATTTCACCACTCCAGGAACCAGAGCTGCACAATACAGCGTTTGTTCATCTTCACTGTGATATTGGCCTTTGCAAGTACTGATATTGGGGAAGGCTGCAATATGCAAATGACCCTCTAACCAATACTAAATGCTTTATTATGTGCTGTGAGCCTCAGATGCTCCAGATGAATTTGTGTGGGTGTCTGGATGAATTTAGACGTTCACCTGATCCAGCAAATGTAAATGTTTTTGGTCAAAATTAATGCAGAACTAAACTTCATATCCACGTCACATCAGTGATACGTTAGTATATTTTTAAAGGAGAATTCCACAGATTTTTCAACATTTCTACATAATGAACTGGTTGTGATGTAAACAGATTCATTCAGAGTGGTTTGGCATGAAATGCTCTGTTCTAGAGAAACTTACTGACTCAGAACTGTTCACGGTGGCAGTGATGGGAACCAGCCATCCAAAGTGTTAAATGCCTCTAAAAAAACCCTCTCAGATTAATTTATTACATAAAGTAGTTACGTATAACAGCCTAATGCCGGAGACATTGTGTAAGAATAGTCCTGAGAAAAGATTTTGCCCTAAAACCTTTTTTTTTAATATCCATTCAGGGAAAGGTGCAGGTTCACGTAGGTTCACTGGTGATTTTGGATAATAAATTAAATCACTATATTTGTGATATATTTGTCTACAACCCCTGGTTCCTGTCACCACCACTGTAAAAAAATGTTGATTGAATGACTTTATTCACATCTCAGTGATTGAACCATGCAGAAATTTTGAAATATTAGTGGAATTCCCCTTCAATATGTTGTAAGTTATATTGTAATCGTAATATGTAACAATGCACCCTCTGTGTTGCTGGAGTTTTAAACACTGTGTCCACTTACTGCCCACTCTATTAGGCACACGTTATCGGTGTATCTTGTAAAGTCAGAGACAGTAGCTCATCTGTTACTGTGCAGTTCGTGTTAGACATCCTCTAGTCCTTCATCAGTGGACAGTTTCTGACCACAAGACACTGTTGGCTGGTTATTTTCGGTTGGTGGACTATTCTTAAATCAGCAGTGTGATCAGCAGAATGATCCAGTATACAGAGAAACAGATGGACTACAGTCTGTAACTGTAGAACTACAAAGTGCATCTATATGGTAAGTGGAGCTGTGTGTGTAGAAACAAGTACCTAATAAAGTGGCCAGTGAGTGCAATCACAATATTACATTTGGTCCATACTGTGCACTCTTCTAGTACCTGAGATGATTATAACACTGCAGTGTTCTTAGAAATGTCCCTGCAGCTGGACATTGTCCCCGACTGACACTGGGGGAAGTGCCCTGTTGTTATTGGACCAGCTGATCTCCCAGTGAGCTCGTTGCTGTCTCCTCCTCTGGAGTGTGGAGTTCTGGAGGCTCACTATCAGGCAGAGCAGGAGGCTCACTGTCCGAGCCAGAGGGGCTTTGAAGGTCAGTGGCTGCAGGAGGATGGCCAGGCTCCTCGTTGCTGCACTGGTCCATGGGACTGAGCGTCTGCACTTCTGCCCGTCCTTCCTCTTCCAGTTCTGAGTCAGAGTCCAGGCTGTGCTCCAGCGAGCCAAGCGTGCCTGTGGAGCCTTCTGTTGAAGTAACACATGATCAAACATATATACATAGTTAATAATCATAACACTTATTATTCAGCAACTACTATAAGTGATCAATTAACTACTATGAAACTAATGTGTAAGTTATGCAGTTATGAGAGAGGGAGAGAGAATGAGGTTGAAGAGTGGGCCCACATACGGACCCTTAGGGTTTGATTAAGTACAACAATATCCACAAGTCCTGTAATGCCTCACCTCTGCCTTCACATAGCTTGGCCACCTCGGTTCCTCCATGTTCCTCAGTGTGATCTGCTTCATCTCCATCATTTGTCCCAGAGTCCTCCCCATCCACACTGCTCTCCTGCAAAAGCAAATTCAGTGTAATAAAAGGTACAGTAAAGGTTAACATGTGCCAGTCCTGCTTCAAACATGAATGCATAAATCAATGGCAAACAACACAGAAGACCAATGTTCTAACAACCAAAAATCAATAGGGGTTGATATTCGGGTACACAACAGTACTAGGGACGCACAATATATCAGAATTCTATCAGCACTGATAGATAATTGCTTAAAAAACTCTGTTAAGATTTGATTGATATTTCAAATTGATATTTGATGTATTTACTGTACTCTGGAAGAGCAGAATGTTTGGCAATGTTTTGGGTTATAACACTAAAATATCTGCATTTAATTCATTTTTAGTGCATTTGTATCCCTACAGAAATAAATGTTATTTCTCCATAATGCTATATCAAGTAGCTCTATTCCCGGTTTCTGTATGTATTGGTGTCAGCAGATATGTACAATATTGGATACTGGCATTCCCATTTTGGTTCATCCCACCATATTCTTTGCACTATTTTCCATCTTTTGGAAGTAATTATGGTCAAATTATGGTCTCATACAAAATACGGGAACAGTGCGCCTACACCAGAGCCTTCCAGACCGCTACCCAAACACTGCACATATTTAAAAAACACGTAACTATCTTAAGAAATTCAAAACTTAAAAGAGCATTCCAGCATTAAACGAGCATTTCATGTTATTGTCATGTTAAGTCATATTTTGTAGCACACACTATCTACTATTTATCAGCCTCGTCGGTTTGGCAGTTTTGTGTCCGTTTTGTATTTTCATCCATGAGTATTTTCTCACTACAATACCCAGCATGCAGTACAAACAATACACTGTACTACCTTTCTAAATTCCCCCTGCATGACAAAGAAATCCACTAATGTGGAGGCTAATAAATATAGATGTGATATTCGTCTTCCTAGCAGTAACGTTAGAATTCAGGCTTTTTTCTATGTTCACCAGCCAGCAGAAAAAGACATTTCATAGAGCCTGCTCTAAAGCAACCCCCACCAAAGTGCTCGTAGTTTGTCAAAAGTTCCTCTGAACCTTCAAGACATCACAGGAGGTGGGTTTTCGGTCTTTAAACTGGAAAATCTTGCTCTAGAGAATACTGCAGCATTGCAGTTGGTGGCATGTTTACAGCAGATGAAGTGATGTTTACGCTTTTCATTTTGTGCCCCTTGAAGAATTCTTTCACACACAGAAGGATGCAGGACTTTTACCTATCTTAGTGTAATTTTATGCCCTACATTTCTTAGGATTGCTCTTATTTTCTCCCTAATGAATTAACTTAAGTGTCTTAATGTACCATATAACAGTTTTCCTGTTTTAGGAACAATCACTGAATTGGATTAGTAAAATCCTCGTCAGTCCATCTGAGCACTGAGAATCTCCAATGCACACACACACCTGCTGCAGAGATGGGGAGGTGACTGCACTGGTGCTGCCTGTGTGGTGTGACTCGGATGGAAAGATAGTGCGGTAAAACACAATGAGGGTCTCCACAATTCGGGCTTGGAAGGGGTAATCCACCAAAGATGAGAGGGACACCGTGGCCCCTGAAGGCCGGGGCCGCATCAGCGAGGGTCCAAACACAATACCCAAATTACTGGGGCTCATTTTATTATCCTCTTCCAGTTCGGCAATTCTAGAGGGTGAAAAAACATGCATACACTGAGGTTTAAAAAAAGGATTTATTTTAACAAAAATGCCATTTATTTTGAAATCCTACAAGATTGAGGCTAAAAAGAGTTTTACACATAAAACTAATGCTAAAAATGTAAACGCTGCTTTTCCCAGAAAAACTGTAGGATAAAAAGTGCTAGAATTGTTTGCAAAATGGTTTTAGATGGAGCTAAAGGTATAAACGGCCAATTCTTGCTTCAGGTGATAAATTTTTCTTTGCCTTAATGCGCAGACTGTGAAAAAAGTATTCAAAGTTTATGAATCACGTAATTACCAAAATTAAAACAATGTATCATTTCTATAGTGCTGAAATTTCCATAGTACTAAAACAGCAAGCCAAAAATGACGAACTGTCGTCTGTTTATCTTAAAGGAGGATCACAGAGTCTTCTGTAGTGTGTCAGTGGTACAGAGGAAGTCTTTGGTACCTGCGTAGGTGGCGCGCTATGTAGCGTAGCGTGGTGATGTTAGCTTTGGGGAGATCTGCGAGGAGTTCCTTCAGTCGGTGCACCAGGGCCATGAGCTCAGGGTCCGTCCCTTGGCCCAGATCCACCAGGTCCGGCCCCTTCCCAGCCTCGGCCCCCTCAGGCCCCACAAGGGCCAAGCTCTCCTTAGCCAGGCCCATCAGACTATTGTACAGGCGGAAAGGCATGATGGGCTCTGGAAGCTGGATGGAGGAATTGAAATGTGACTGTAAATACATGAAAATCTTCAGCCCATTATCAAAGTTAGAGTTTACTAAGATATCTTACATTTTCCTCTTAGCCCAAGTGGAGTTGATTGGTAAAGATGTTTTGAGTCTAATTTTGCACTGGAGCTTCGAGGCTAATGTAGCTAAAAAGTAATGGGAGCTTATACTCACCATAAACTGCATGGCTTAATAATTACATACTTGCCTTAAACTGTATCAAACTGTTAAGTTAATCTTAAATAGATCTGATTATGTGGTTTCTGACACTGAAAGACACACAGTAATCTATAACAAATGAGCTGCCAGGCTGTCTCTATTGTTTTTATCTGTATGATGTACTTTTGGTCCATTTTTATATAACAGTATGTCACAAAGTCAAGTCATTTAGTGCAGTTGTTAGCTTCATTATCCATGTAACTCTTGTGCTAAAAAAGTAGCCAACTTCAGACACCAAACATGTCTTGGCCGACTGGCAACATTTGAGATAAGGGGAAGATAACAAGGCACCACAGATATATCAGTTGGCCATGGCATCGAGGGAATCACTTTGCTTCAAGGGAAACTGGAGCTTGTTCCATTGCTGTTGCTTTTGTTAGTTGGCTGCTCATTGATTTATCCAAGGCATCCTCCAGGGCTAACCTTACCAGCATTACTACTATTTGCAGCATTAATTCTGTGTTTTGCTTGTAAACGATACTTCAGACACTACAAACTACAGCGATAAACACATTCACAGCATTGCAATAGTTTGAAATAACTTTGGTTTTATCAAGAGAGCCACCAACGGAACTTCTTGTCTTTTAAAAGCTGTATTTGAGAGGGCTGTGGTTATGGAGTCATAGCAACAGCATGTGAGCATCTGGGCTTCAGGCTGGAGCTGTGAATGCTTTGAAAGTCAAGATCATTTTAATGAAGAACTAATTTACAATGAGATGTAATGAATAGAAACCAAAACCGATTTCTGGATCGCTCCACCCCCAGTGCTACAGCATTAATATTATTTAAGAGTTTTGGTTGTTTATTTGAGTTCAACAAATGAGAACTGTACATAATATCTGTGGGTAAAGCATTGTTTAACTAAAACTACAGGAGTACAATATATAATAGGAGTAAAAAAATCTACTAAGCATAAATTTAAAATTACATCAAAATTTTTAGCCCCTTAAAATTGGTATCGGTCATATCGAGCCCTAGAAAATTACGGAAATGTGATTTTTTTTGCTGAACTATCATTTTAGGAAGCTGGTATTCTCAATCTTGAATTCCATTTCAGTGTATAACCACAATAAACAAACTTTTTGACTTTGAGGCTTTGTGTTTTGTTCTGGGCTGCTAAAGGGTGGAAAGCGCAGGCACACCTGTCTCAGGTAGAGTTTGAGCACGTTGCTGATGTCGTGTGGAGAGGACTGGGACAGCTCCACCAGCTCCTTGCCATTCTCGAAGGCCTGGCACAGCTTCTCCACTCGTGTTTTCACCCCGTTCACCCGGTAAATGCCCTGAGTTCAGGAAGACGGAGGGATAGAAGCACGTTCAGGGAATTTGCATTTCTGTAGTTAAGCTCCGCCCACTGGCTTTCAGCCTCACCACTCACCTTCATCCTAAGCGCTCTCCTTTCTATTTCACAGATGCACTTCTTGATGATGAAGGGGATGCCATCGGAGCTGTTGTTGGACACCAGGGAGAACTCCTGCCCAAAGAGCTGGAGGCGGCCCTGCAGTTTCTTATGACCACACTGAATAGCCAGAGTCTCTAAGCAGCGCTTATGACAGGCCAGGAAACACTGGAACGAGTAAACAGGAACATGTTAGACACAAGTAAGACACTTTTCACTTTCCTCTGGTTCGTCTGCAGAAAAACAGCATATTCTTACATAAGAGAACAGCAGTGTTTACATAAGCCTAATAATAAACAGCCTAATAATCCGTTAATAATCCGACTAATAGCTCAATCAAACCTACACTGGTCACCAGTTAAATTTCGCATTGATTATAAAATTCTCTTACTGACTTAGAAAGCTGTAAACAGACTCGCCCCTCAGTACCTGAGTGAACTTCTCTCCCACTATGAACCATCACGCCTACTTGGATCACAAGGTGCTGGCTTACTATTAGTACCTAGAATTAATAAAGTTACGTTAGGGGGGAGAGCCTTCTCATACAAAGCCCCCCGGCTTTGGAATAATCTTCCTGTTAATGTTCGGGACTCAGACACAGCCTCAGTCTTTAAGTCTAGGCTAAAAACTTACTTGTATAGTCAAGCCTTTGGTAATTAGTTTTCCCTGTCAGTTCTATACCTGCCAGAGTTTCTGCTGCTCTGTTATACTGTAATCTGTGATCGGTCACCCATTACAGAACTGACTCTCATTCCCCTTATGAGTCTTGGTTCCTCTCAAGGTTTCTTCCTGTTTCTCTTAGGGAGTTTTTCCTTGCCACTGTCGCCTCTGGCGACGCTCATGGGGGCTTGGACCCGGATTTCTTTCTGTAATGCTGATTTTTTTTTTGTAAAGCTGCTTTGTGACAACACCTGTTGTAAAAAGCGCTATGTAAATAAACTTTGCTTGCTCAACTGGAATAGAATACGTGCGTGTACACACTTCAATCGGAAAACAAATTAGTCCAATTGAGGCCATTCGGAATACAATTTCTATGCAATTGAACGAGGTGGGTAATCCTGTAAATAATCTGTTAAATAGAAGAATAATAACCATGTAAATGCCTGTATCTGATTACATCGCCAATCAGAAAGTTTAAGTGCATTCTGCACGTTTGTTCGCATCATAGTGAAAGTTTATAACGTTCAACACGGTGGGAGCAGAAACTGGTCTGCAGAGGAGACGAAGTTTATGCTCTGATCTTTAAAAGACGGCGGTGGGACGGACGTCCAGTTTATGTGTCTCAGAACACGACGTCTTCCTCTCAGCCTTCTTTAATAAGGACATGTGAAGGACGTTTTCCTGAGTCTGACATCATTTTAAAGCAATTATAAACACAAGCGCTGCTCACTGCTGCTCGTCTCACTCTGACTGGACCGGATGCTCGTTGTCATGGTAACGTCTACACTAAGCGGTGCTCTACACATGCGCATAAGTTTGGATGATATTATTTGTATTGTGCATGTGAACACAGATTTTCCCTCAGATTAACAAAAATGAACCACTCAACTACCTACTACAGCTGCACTATATATTTATATATATATACATATATATATATATATATATATATACATATATATATATATATATATATATATATATATATATAATTTTCTGTCTTATGTTTGTAATGTGTTCTTTGATTTGTGGGAACAATGTATTATTAAGTTAAGTGTTGCTGCCTGTTTTGGTCGGGACCCTCTTGTAAAAGAGATTTTAAATCTCAGTAAGTTTTAAATCTCAGTAAGTTTCTGGTTAATAAATAAATATATTTCTTATATATGGAGACTTTATGAATCTTGGCTGTTCTCTTTTTATAGCCCTTTTATGACTCACATCACGATGAAATACCACGCAGTCCTAATAGCTACTGTATATAGCTACTCAAAACAGATCTACTACACCAGCTAACACACCTGAGCCAGGTAACCAGCCTGCTAGCCCTGGATTAACACTTTAGATCTGTTCAGAACTGAGACAGAATAAAAAACGTGCACTGCCTGGAAACATAGCTAAAAACGAAACACTAGGCACGGCCACACCCTTAAGAGGCAGGGCCTCAGAGAGACCTCACCTCCTCACACTCCGCCCCCTGAAAGTATACGTAGCTGTCACACTGCCGGCACTTAGCTGGAGAGCGCAGTTTGCGCAGTCGGTGCGTCTGCGCAGCTTTGGACAAGCCGATGTTCCGAAACGGCCCAGTGGGCACCACGATCTCAGGCTCGATGCCGTTAATGTCTGAAAGAAAAGATGGAAAGAAGCAGCAGGTCAGCAGGGTCATCAGATCACAGGAGGCTGTGTGGTTGAAGCTCTCTGAGAGATGAAATGAATTAACAGAAATGGGCACATATGGCTGCCATCCATCCGGCTTTCACACACCACACTGACTGTTTCTCCACCCACAGAGCTGCTGGCTTGTGGTCAACTGTGTCATCTCGCAACTAATCTCGTTACACAAATAACATCATTTGATTGGTGGTTTTTGATGTAGCAGCCATGAGACACTGTTCTCTACAGTGAAAGAGAAGCAGAAGAATGAGCAAGGATGAAATCCCCCATAAAGAAATGTGACTGTTTTGTTCCAAAAAGAATAACTTCAAGATGCCAAAGAATGATTTCATTTCAGACTGCCATGAGATGATGTCTACAAGACTGTTCTGAATTAAAAAACATTGCTTTCTGATGTATTGTTGATTACTGATAACAACTTTCTTTTTTTAATATAAATCAGATTCTTACTCTGAAACTCCAGCCTGGTTTTACTTCATTTAGCTGGCACTGTACAGTCAATATGGCTTTAGAAGAATGCCATCAAAAGAGTACTGTATGTTAATAGTGTTCAGTTGTTGTGAGCTCTTTTCACTCGAGTCCATTTTTAGAGATGTAAAAGCCAGTGTGATTATGAATGCACTGAAACCTTTGCATCAGGTCTGCTCTGCTTGTGTTATTAATCAAACACTCTGAGTGGGAAGAACTACAGCAGGTGTGGAGTTTGAGGCTCTGCATCAGCTCAGAGCTCAAAGCGTTAAAAGGAGCAAACAAACCATGAGCAACCATGAGCTCTGATGTGAACGACTGCAACTGTGTTAATGTTTAGATTTTTAAAACTTGATGTGCATTTTTTGTTTTTTTCGTTGCTTTTTTGTGTCTGTAAAACTCACATTGTTTAACAAGGCCTTAAAGGGGAATTCTACCAATATTTCTAAATTTCTGCATAATTCAGTGGTTGAGATGTAACCCAAGTCATTCAGAGTGGTTTAAACTGATATGGTTCATTATAGAGAAACTTTTCAGCTCTGATTTCTTTACAGTGGTGCTGATAGGAACAACACAAATATAGATATTTTATTTACTTTCCAAAACCACCAGTGAACCTACACGTCTTCTGAACATTTATATGTAATGTTGATGATGGTAAAATAGTCGAAAATGTGACAAAAATTTATTTAGGAACTATTTCGCCTCACACCACCCTGCAGGTACCTCTCCACAACAAACAGATTAAAAAAAACATTTTAGGCCAAATCCTTGTCTTACAGCTTTTAGGCATCAGGCAGCAAATTTGTTTTAATGTGAAAACTTTCTGACGTAGCTTTTAGAGGCATTCTTGTCTGGATAACCTGCTGTAAATGATATAAGATCCTCAGACTCACTGGGAGTTTCAAAGGAGGCCATGTTTCCATCCTTTTCATCCGGGTCCTCGTTTGATGACATGGTTCCTGTGGATGCTGTTCGTGCCATTTTACTGATGTCACCTGCAACATCATCAGGGGCAAAATCAGTCTTTAATCTGTCTTATATTGCTGAATTCAAGACAATATAGCATGCCAGAGTGCTGAACCCCAAACCCAGAGCCTACCTGTGCTGGTGGTGGGGGAGCCCAGCCCGCTCCCTCCGCACACACTGTCTGTGTCGCTCACTGTGGAGCCCCACGATTTGTGGGTCATGTGACTTCGTGCTACGGGAGTGAACAGTATCACTGATTATACACATCTTACCATACAGTTCTACAACATACGAGGCGATCAAATAATGTTGGAGTACCTCATTACTCAAACATTATTCTTCTTCATCATAACTTTTAAAAGTTGATAACTAGACTTGTCTAACACCAGTCCACCTCCATAACATCTCCTCAGATTGTTCAAATCTTTGCTTTAAAAGTAAACAGGAAAGAGGAACATATCTGCACTGTTTTTAGTTATGTGACAAAATTTTACTGGAAGTAAACTGAAATAATATTGAAGGTTTGCCTAGTCTTCTCTCCTGCTTTGTTCCTATTAAACTTTGATACGGAATCTGTACTTGATTATAAAGCAAAGCATCTGTTTTTTATATCAGTATCTTTGGCCAAGAAATTTTGCTTTTGTGGTCAACTCATCAGGTTCCATCCGTTAATTTCTGGTTGTCCCAGGTTACAACAGTGCTTCCATTAGAGCAACAGAAATACAGCTTAAATCAGAAAATGTACAGGTTCTGGAGAATACGGCATTTATTAATATCTTACCTTATACTTACAATATACTTACTCTATCATGTCCATTGGAAACTATGAGTATTATGTGCTAAGGTAACTGTACCTGTGAACCTGACTTTATGTGCCAATAAAATGTCAATTGTTAAAACAAAAAAGTTGAAGTTTTGTCCAAAAGCCGTCGATACTGAACAACAGGCACTATTAATCATATATTTTTTATCATTATCGCAATACGAGTTTCCACAATGAACACATCAATAAGGGCTGCAATGACAAAAATTACGTTACACTTTTTCAGGGACAGTTCGTTACACCTTCACCAGAACTTTTGCTATTTTCTGGGCAACGATCACATGAACACTTGTAGACTCTTTGAAAAGGTTTTTGCTTAATGACACAAGGCTCAAAAATTTGGAATCTCTATTTAGAAACCTAAAGGGCCCAAATCCTACATTTTTCTTGTACTATATTTTTCTCCCTGAGGTCCACTTGTGTGAGTTTATATGCCAAAAACAGTCATAATTCTTTTCTACATGACCATCTTTTTCTTTATCCATTACAATCAAACAGGCTGTGTTTATTACTGTACCTTTAAAACAGATGTATGTAAATAACTATAACTGCTGTGTGGTTGATTAGGCAGATTTATGTAAATGAGTGAGTTTTCATGACATCACAGAAACAATGAATTCAAAATATGCTGTTTTTGCAGATTCTTTTCCAAAAATGGACCATATGGACTGAGGACTGAACAGTACATTTAAACTTTAGCAGTGTTTATATATTACATCAAACTCTCTTATTTAAAAAATGTGATAGATATTCATTTTTGTTACAAGAACCAACATATTGTACCTCTTAAAATGCCAGCAGCATTTAAGGTACGTTTTCAAACACTTTCCATCAGTTGTGTTTTTAAATATTTAGTGAAGAGAATATGAAACTCAATGAATAATCCAGACAGTAAACGTGAAACAGACAAATGTAAAGACTACACACCCTTCTTGTGCTCCTCTCTCTGAGAGGAGGCTGCATCTTCTCCTGCTGTTGCCGGTGCTTCAGGGCTGCTGTGAGCATCTGTGTTGGAGCTGTCAGCGCGCAGTCTGGCTGCCTGCCTACAGTCAGAACCACACAAACATACATACTTACAGGGGAAGCAATTTTTACAAATTTCAGCACAGTGGTAGTGATAGGAACCAGGAGCCACAACGTCTCAACGAAAAGCATTAATTAATTGCTTAATAATTAATTAATCATTCCACTCATTATCAGCCATTGTGTTTTCTTTTTTATCCTATATAGTCTTTTACATTAAAAAGCCAAACTATGCTTTATTTACATTTTAGTGACCCTTTTATTTTAAATACAGGGTGTCAAACAGTGCCATACCATGCTTATGTAATTTTTACAAAAAAGGTGACGTGTTTTAGTTGGATTTTGGATAGAAATATAGCCATTCTCTTGACTGCCGAAATTCATCAGTTAACCTACATGTCTTCTGAGTTTTAAAATTACGTTTGCTTTGGGTAAGATTTTGCCTTACAACATCCTGCATGTACCCCTCCACTACGCATTGTAGGCCAAAAAGCTTGTCTCAAAACTATCGTAAAACAATGTTTGAGGCATCAGTCAGCGTGTGTTCACAACCACTTCATGCAATAACGTTCTGTGAGGGAGCATTTAGAGGCATTAAATTCTTCAAATGTCTGGCTCCTGTCCCCACCACTGTGAACAATTCTGACTCCACACCAAACCTCTCAATCAAATTGTTTAAATCTTAATGTGTAATAAATTATGTAGACATTTTGAAATATTGGTGGGATTCCCCTTTTACCAGAGAACATGAGCACACACAGTGGTAAGATCTAAATTTGACTCATTAATGATGAATGGGAAATAACTGAAAGCTTTCTTATCACTAAGGAAAAAAGCGTAGTTACTAAATACTTAAAAATATATACAAATACATAAAAGCAATACATTAAAATATATTAAAATACTTATCAGAATTTTTTATAGCACATTTTAGTTAATTGGCACATAACTTTGTTTAAAATTTTGAGCTAATTTAGATTCTTAATAGTTTCAGTTTATTAAAGAAGTCCTTGTTTTTGTTTACGACATGTTTGTAAAACGCACTGGCTGCTGATGGGACAGTAGGGCTCGAAGCTGTAATGGACTTCAGGCTCCTCGCTCATCTGCAGGTCTCTGACGTGGGTGGCGTACTGCTGGCCCGGATCGTACAGCTTACTGCTCTCACACAGTGTCTGGTAGTGCACAGGCAGGGCCACCGTCTGCACATGCATGGTCTGGTAATAGGAAATAGTAGCCTGGAAAAAAGAAAGCGGGACTTTTATTAAAATGCACATTAACCCTTTAAACCCTGAAGACCCATGAGGGCCCACGCTTTATTTTATCCCTCATAAATATATATTAAGTTATCGAATAATCTGTAATAGTCAGCCTGGAGTTCAAGCCTTAAACAATCAATAATCATAGACATGCTGGCTGATAAGCAGGATCCAGTCATGGTTTCAGCACCGGCTCAGTAAAGCCTAACACACAGAGCTGGTTTCCTTTAGCAATTCATCTGAACCCAGACTAGGATTAGATTTACAGCACAAAACACACAGACAGTCACTCACAGAGCGGAGCGTCTGGTCACTCTGCTTGATGACCTCCTGGATCTGTCTCAGCACTGTGACCTTCGTGTGCTCCAACTCCTGGTGCTGTGTGGTGGCGTCCGCAATGCATGTGCGGTATGTAGCCTCAGCCTCCTCAGCCTGAGAGAGAGAGAGAGAGAGAGAAGAAGAGAGAGAGAGAGAGAGAGAGAGAGAGAGAGAGAGAGAGAGGAGAGAAAGAGAAACAGGAGAGAGACAGAGAGAAAGAAAGAGAGAGAGAGAGAGAGAGAAACAGGAGAGAGACAGAGAGAGAGGAGAGAAAGAGAAACGAAGAGAGAGAGAGATGGAAAGAGAGAAGTAACAGAGAGACAGAAGGAGAAAGAGAGGAGAGAAAAAGAAACAGGAGAGGGAGAGGGAGAGAGATGGAGAGACAGACAGAGAGAGAGGAGAGAGAGACCGTCAGGAAGAGAGAGGGGAGAGAGCAAGTAGAGCGAGAAGAGAGAGGCAGAGAGAGAAGAGAGAGAGAGACAGAAGAGAGACAGGAGAGAAAGAGGGGAGAGAGCAAGTAGACAGAGAAGGAAAGCATTAGAGAACTGATGAATAAAGACAGATGGAGTCGGTCTTTTTAAAACACAGTGACATGAATGAGTTTTGGGTTTAGATTTTCTAGTTTGTAAGAATGTTATTTAGACTATTCAGACTCAGGACAGCTCTACAGACAGAGGTTAAAGAAAATATACGGCAAACCACAGCTGAAAGGCTGGGAATGCCAGTGAAAACCTCAGCACACAGTTTATAGACCTTTTTAGTTTACCTAGGTGTATCAGTCTGTTAAGTCAGTGCTTAAAAGAAAAACACAGAATTCACTGTTGCACTGTGGAAAAGGAATAAGTCTTTCCTTCTGTCTGTGTTAAAAAAAACAAAACCAAACATTAAAAATCACATCAGTTTTTTTTTATTTGTTCACACCTGCTTGGTGTGAACAGGCCTTAAATCAGACGTCCTCAATCTAAATAACAATTTCACAAAATAATGAAATTAACAGGTCACATCACACTGACCCTAGGACACCAAGACTGAAACAGCGAGTGCGTTTACCTGCACTCGATAATCCGAACATAATCAGATTTCTGCAGTTATCCGTTTATTCAAATGGTCATGTAAACACCATAGTCCGATCTAGAAATCTGATGAAGAAATTAGATAAAGTGAGCTGGATTTTAGCTCAGTAATCAGATTTCTCAGTGCATGTAAACTCTTATTCTGATTTCTTTTCGGATTTCACAGTCTGCGCATGTGCGGAACAGAAAGCTGTACTGGAAATAAGTGAGCCGCGCTGCTGCAAAATGGCAGCAAAACACTTTTGGAGCGACACTGAAACCAACTACATTTTTGACGAAATGAAGGATCTGAATATTCTTCAACTTCTAAGTGATGTTTGTTCATATTTTCAGGTAAAGTAGCTCAATGTTTAAAAAAAAAAGCTGCGGCATGAAGTTTTATGTTATGTTTGAGTCACGTCTTCTGTGAGTTTATTGGCTGGTTGCAAAGCAGAAATCCGATTACTGTCTGACTCATGTAGACCTAGAGTTTCCCCATTATCTGATTACTCAAGTGCATGTAAATGTGTTGATTGGATTACTGACAAAATCTGATTTTCTGTAGTTATCAGATTATTAAGTGCATGTAAACACACTCACTGAAATATGTACAATCCTCAGGTTATTATTCTCTACTACTACACTACTGTTCAAATGTTTGGAATCACCTTTCAAATAATTGTAATATTTTTTGTTATATTACATTCAAAAATAGCTGATACAGTATAGACTCAAATATTTTATACTGAACACCAAAATGTATTTTACGTGATTTTTGGGGGAACGACAGCAAGTTGTTAAATGACAAATTATATACTACAATTATCTATTTACAGTTATGATTTTCGGGTTATTTGCTTCAAGATTTCATCACGACCTTTAAAACACCTGGACATTCTGGATAGAAAAGTTATTCTAACTTTTGGTGCAGTTATCATTTTTCATCATTTTTAACTACAGCTCTATTCATCACTCCGGACACGTCTAAATTCCTTTTTTTTATAGCTTCCTAGCTTCCAATTGATTACACAAATTTATATTTACGTTTACTTAGATGATGTTATATATTTTTTTATATTTATTTATATTTTCCTGATCTGTGTGCAAGGAAATCCTGACAGGTTTTTGTGTCACACTGCTGCATCATGGGAGTTCAGTACAGACCTTATTGCGAGCCTCTTCTTCCAGTCGTTTTTTCTTGTCCAGTGCTTTGGTGGTGGAGCTGCTGCCCTCTTCCTCTGCTCTGCTGGCTGCCGTCTTGGCCTTCTCGTATTCCTCACAGCGAGCGGCGTACACCTGCTTAGCCCGCTTCAAGTTAGCCTCAGACTCCATCTGCACATGACATAAATGAAGAATTCGATGGGTAAGAGTATGAAAACGACTTTATACACCATCAAATTGGAATTTTTGGAACCAGTGGGACGTCAGCTGAGAATCAAAACTGCAGCACAGTTCTCACCAGTTTCCTCTTGGCTTTGAGCCACAGCTCCTTGATCTCTTTTCGTTTCTTTTCGTGTTCCTGCTTACGGTGCATCAAAGGCTGTGGAAGCAGAGTAAGAATTCCTTATAACAAGGAACGTCATGCGTAAAACCTCAACAAAGTCCAGTGTCAGAGTACTTGTAGAGCATAACAAGCAGCAAAGAAAATCTTTCAGTTTTTTTTTTCACTTAATCTTCAAGAGCAAAACAGAAAGTGGAAACAATGCAGAACCTGTGACACTGAATACAGGCAAGAACTCAAACTCCAGTGTAATGCATTCTGCAACATAATTTGCTGCTTTTATCCCACTGAGCCCTGGGCATACGATTCAGTTACTAATCTTAAGTCTTACTGTGGAGTAACTACTATGAATTATTCAATAACTACTATCAAAGTAATATGCAAGTTATGTGCTTATAAGAGCAAAGCATTAAAGGGATTACAGTTTAATCACAGCAGTCATAAAATCCATGTTTTGGTGGTCCTTCAGGTTGAGCTATGCAATTTTTCCTTCAGTAAACTTGATGGAATATATTTCGATAAAAATTCCACCTCTGCAAATCCATATTCAATCATTATAAAAGTGGTTTTATTGTGCTTATATGCATTTTTTTAATGCAGCAGTTGTGCACGATTATTTGACAGAAAGAAAGCAGCAGTTGCGCTGTCTATTTTATCTAAGCATAGTCTGTGTGGAGAGGTGTGAATAGTGTTCACAGCAGGGATCTCCCACCTCTCCCATTTCCTATCACTGCTCACTGGCAGCACAACACAGAGTCACAACATTTCACACTTACAGGACAAAATATCTGAGTCAATTTCCATCCCACTGATGTTCCCAGAGGATTATATGAATCTATTTTTCAACATAATGTGTGATATTAAGTTGAAGGTGACTAAGGTGATCATGAAATAGTGATAATGATGAAGATGAAGGAGTGGCGCACCTGTATGAAGGTCTGGTTGTGCAGGGTGGTTGCAGCCTGATGTACTCCAGCACTCTGCTCTAGATCCTGCTCCAGAGCCAGAGAGTAGATGGAGAAGAAAGGCATGTGTGGCTGCAGAGGAAGACAAAGGAGAAGAAACAAAATGGACAAAGAGTAAGAGAACGGGTCACATGGCAGCTACGATAAAGATTTATTATATCTATTAAAGATTCTAGCTTACCTGTGTGATGGTCTGTTTGCAAGCCTGGTACAGTCTTTGGAGGCCCTTGGAAAATTCCACCTCTGCAATACCATAAAATTAAATTAGTCAAAGCAAAGTGATAATATTCCCCATACTGGTATCAAACATGGTCTTTAGAAACAAAAACATCAGAAGTGTGAAATGTTTTTTTCAAGTTCATTTCTCTTGGTGCAGGTGTCAAATTTCAATAAAATAAAATAAAACATGTACTGCATATGTGAAATACACAATTCATAGTATCTCGATGACATCACACAGTAGTGCCGCTGTTATAATGGTAGGCAACTTCAAGTTAATTTAGCACCTCAGTGTGTAATGAGACAAATTTTCTTACTTTAAAACTAACTTTTAGAGTATATATTTGAGCGTATTGCCTTGATCTTATTTGATTTGTTGCTGTAGTGATAACAAACGAAAATTGAAATCTAAATGACTGAGATTTCCTGCTGCATTACTTCTGCTGCGTCCCAAACTGCACACAACACTATTTAAGGTGGAACAGAAAATTCGAATAAGAAGGTGGTGAATAAGATGCCAACTCCAGCTTAATTGTGTTTATTATTTATGAGCTTTGGAAGTTTTGGAAGATGTTTTTTATACTTTTTGTAAAAATCTCACACATTGGAATGTTCTGAACTTCAGAGGTGTGCAGTTTATACAGATCCAGTCCACCACTCAAGCTAATCTTCTACTCGTAGTGTTTTCTGGAGACTGAATCTAAAACGTCAGAATATCTTTTCATCTATTTGTGGTCATTTTGGTTTACTTTGCTTGATCTTCATCCACCTGCAAGGTTGAAGCGGCAGCAACGGTGATGAGAAAAGCTCCATCAGAGCACAGTCTTTACAGAGTTTCAGTTCTTAATGACGTAATAGATTACAATTAATACAAAATAAATATGGATATCTACTGAAAACAGGCACAATGTACAGTTACATTACAAATACTGCCGATGTGTACGGTTATGAAGTTATAAAACTGGGCTGTGTATATATTATGCATGTTTTATTTGCATTATATCACAGAAACACAACATGAAATCAGCTTCACAGGGTGTGCTGTCTTACCGAGTGAGATTCGTTTCTCCACATAGCCGATGAGGTCCTTCATGTACTTGGAGATGGTCTTGGCGTACATCAGAGCGGAGTCCACTCCACCTTCACTGCGCTGCAGAAGGATGTCCACCTCCTCCGCACTCATTACTGTACAAAAACACATGAAACGTTTGGATGCAATTTAAACTGTCACTTTAAATTGTACTGCGAGTGAAGGAACTCATGTCAGAGAAGAAGATAATTACCAAATTCAGAAGAGTCGCTCCGTGTTTGTGAGGTTTCCTGACCAGACATTTTGTAAAGATTCTCCATAGACTGTTAACACAGCAGGATACAACAACAACAAACATGCTGTTTAGGTCAGAAGGACGTACGTTTAATGTGTTTCATAAAACAGATCTGATTGGCTGAGACACAGCTGAAGCTGTATGTTTAGGCACCACTGGTCAAATTACATGTTTTGTTGATTTTCTAAGTGAAAATCCTCTACTGAGAACAGTTCTACACATTTCAAAGCACAATTAGTGCTTATTTACAGTAGTTAACATGTTGGACAAATATGAAACTGTGGCCAAAAGATACATACACGTTTTAAATCGTATGTTTTCTTATATGTTCAACTCAGCAAATAAACAGAAATAGTGCATAAAAATTTGCAGAACAATGCCTTATTTAAGTTGCTCTCTGTAGCGGATGTTTTAACTTATTTTCACTTGGAAAATCAACAAAACAGCATTTAATGAGGAGTGTTTTTTACAGACAACTGTACAAACACACTCGCGCGCACACACACACACACACACACACACACACATATGTATGTATATCTATCTATCTATCTGGATTTTTATTTTTATATATTTTTTACATAAATTGAAAGCACCACTTGTTATTTATAGTGTCAAAATCTTATGACAAATGGACCAATAGAAATGGTCCAAAATTAGAGAATAAAATCTTTCTACATTATTTTACATTTGTCAGTTAAGAATGTTTTTCCTTCTCTTATAAAGTTACATTTTTGGAGATGTGCCAGCAACAATATTAGATAGAGGCATACAGATAACCAGAGAGATAAACAGACATGCAGACAGACAGACAGACAGATTAACAGAAAGATTAACTGGGGTTAAACAGTAGTTTAATCCGAAGTAAACAGATTGTAGTTTTGTTCCAAGCAGTCTGGTCTGTAAAGCTTTTCAACGTTCATCCTGTTTGCTGAACTGTATTCTGTTAGTTTCTGGCTAATCCCAGTTTGTTTAGTTGTTATACTGCCAGAGCTGCCGACTGAAAAGCTCACTTATGGGCAACAACTGGTTGAGAATTTGATGCTGACCTGCTTTCACACTCTTTTCTAGAATCAGACTAAACACACTGCAGATCAAATATAATGGCATGTATATCTAATGTTTCAGTTTTCTGGTTTGGTATGTGCTAGAAACTTAGTAACGTTTAGCCGCAGTGTAATGTGAGTCATAACTCAGTAAACAGTGCTCAGTGGAATGACACAGTTATTGTAAAAAAAACACAAATGGGAGCACAGATTGTGGCATTGGAACTAACTGTTGCGGAAAATAAATATAATGATCTACTAAATATTATGTTTTATTATTGCATTTTGTTGCTGTGTTGCCTAACAACCCTTAACGGTTGTAAAATCACTGTAAAGCTAAATTACTGGTACGGGTAAATAAAGCTGGTTACTAAATTCATTTCTGACTCATATTTTGTTCATATTCAGGTTAATATCATTATGAACTGTGCTTGGCTGAATGTGTCTGCCACTGTAGTTGCTAACTGAGGCTATGATAGTGCACAGGAAGTGAAGAGGCTGCCCTCAGTAGTTCTGTCACACACGTACCCTGCTCTTCTCTGTGGGCATTACAGATAAGAGAGTGCTGCTGTCAACTTCCCCCATCAACAGCTCCGACACGCTGAAAAAGAAAGTGTAAAACAGACAGAAACAGCATAAGAGAGCCGGTCTGACTAACCTGTTCTGATTCACTGAGAACAGCATCCTGATGCCTTATGTCAGACACAACCTTTTTCAGGCCCCAAGAGAAAATGTTTCATGTTCTCATCAACAACGCATCAGTAATTAAATGTGTTACAGTGAGAGAAATAATATTTAGCTAACAAATATAATAATGTTTCAAGTTAAAGAGCTCATATCTCATATCTTTTCCCATGAAGTCCTTTTGGTTTTATGTACTAAAACCAGTCAGAATTCATTTTTACAAACTATTCTCCAAACTCTGTAGAATTCCCCTTAAGACTGATATGGACAGGATCTCTACCCTGTCTTGCACTTCATAGGAAAAACAGCCCAGACTAAAACATGCTTTGTAGCAATAAAAATACTCTTTATAATTATAACTATGTGAACGGGCAGAGCTAAACTGCTCTGCAATGAACAGGCAGATTTATGTAAATACACTGGTTTTTGTGACATCATTTCAAAACAGTCGGCGGCAGCGTAGTTTCCATATATTGACTGCATGGACTTAGGAGTGAACAAAATATTTTGAAGCTTTAACAATGTTTACAAATCAAACTCATTAAAAAAGTGAGGAAAATCTGTTTTTCCATGATATGAGCCCTTTCATATAAAATTTTACTGTGCAGCGTATTTCCAGTCTCTACTGTTACACCATGGTGTTCAACACTGCTGAGATATGCCTCAGACATCCCTGTTGAAAGTACAGACTGGCCACTTGGCTTGGAGATTATTTGCATTCTTTATCCCTTTTAGCAAACCTGCTTGGTCGGACAGGAAGCTAATCAGACAAATTTAATTTTGTTGCAATTCATAAACAGTAACCACCATGATAGCTAATGTGATGGTGATCACAGTGAACCCCCCGCTGAGGTGGTCTGCGTGGTGTCACTGATGCTCTTCCACTGGCTGAAATTCTTTAACATCTTCTTCTATGAAATAAGGTTTTACTAAGCTAGTGCTACACAGAGGCTGTCACTGCAGCAACAAAACAGTACCTAATGACATAACTCAGATCTGATGACATACTTATGCCTTAGAACTCCCTTAGAAAAAATCTGTTCCTGTGCCTTTAAGACTGATATGTAAATGAGCTCTGTTCTGATTGGCTACCCTGTATTGGGCCTCATGAAAAAAACAACCCAGACTGAAACACTTCTTAAAACAACTGTGTGAATGGGTGGGGCTAACCACTGTCTGATAAATAGGCGGATATATGTAAATGCACTGATTTCTGTGAGATCACAAAAACTTTGGTTTTGGTTCACAGCTTAGTTTCTGGGCGTAAATGGTACATTAAACCTTAATGATGTTTACATGCTGCAAACCCAATTCCAAAAAAGTTGGGACAGTGTGGGAAATACTAATAAAATCAATAAAAAAATAATAAAGCCAGAAAGCAGTGCTAAGCAAGTTCTGTTTGACCTGTACTGCATTGAAAATGGGACAAAAACACAACATTTGATGTTTTATTTTATGACCTTCATTGTTTTTTGTGAATATATGCTCATTCCTAATTTGATGCCTGAAACAGTTGGGACAGGAGCATGTTTGCTGCTGTCTTACATCACCATTCCTTTTAACACAACAGTCGTTTGGGTTCTAAGGACACAAACTGATCCTGTTTTGAAAGTGGAAATTTTGCCATTCTTCTGTGATACGGGTCTTCAGCTCTGCAGGGTCTTTGCTGTCATATTTTGAGCTTAATAAGATGCACGTTGTCAGTGGGAGACAGTTCTGGACTGTGTGCAGGCCAGTCTAAGCCCAGCCTCCTCTGATTACGCAGCCATGCTGTGGTAACACATGCAGAATGTGGGTTGGTGCTGTCATGTTGAAATAAGCATGTCTAAAAGGCAGCATATGTCACTCTAAAATGTGTTCAGCATTAATTGTGCTGTCACAGATGTGCGAGTTACCCACTAATGTCCCCCCATTACCATGACAGACGCTGGCTTTTGAACTTTACTTTCTAGACAGTCTTTTTCTTCTTCGGCCCGGAGAACAATGTCCATTATCTTCATAAACAGTATGAAAGGTGGACTTGTCAAATGACATTACACTGTTTGGGAGGTGGAGCCATTATTTTAAACATTACATCCTCTGAGCTTCTGTCCATTTCAGATGTCCATTTCGGATGAGCTCGAGTCTGCAGCTGCATTTCTGGACACTGTTGACATTTGACATCCACTGTGCACAGTACAGTCTTAATTTGCATTTTTGGATGCAGTGATGGACGCTGTTCATTGACAGCGGTTTGTTAAAATATTCCTGAGCCCATGTGGTGATGTCCATCACAGGAGTGTGCCATTTTTTATACAGTGCCATCTGAGGGGTCAGAGGTTACAGGCATCCATTTGTGGATTTTGGCCTTGTCCTTTATGCTCAGAGAAACCTCCTGATTCTCTGAATCTTCTGATGTTCTTATGCGCTGTAGAGGGTGAAAAATCTGCCTAAATCTGTGCTATCGCTCGCTGAGGAACGTTATTTTATGTGTTGGATTTTTGCCAATGGCGAGCCTCAACTCACCCTCGCTCCTTCCTGGACACTTTTCATATCCAACAGGATAGCATCTCCTGTTTAAGATGTTTTTAACATTTCACAATGTTTCCAGTGTTAAACTACCCCATTCCTACTTTTTTAGAACATGTTTCAGGCATCTGTTTCAGAATGAGCATATATTTACAAAAAATAAAGTCGATAAGGTAAAACATTACTTTTTTCTAAATCTGTCTTCTAGGGCTGTACGATAAATCATATTTCAGCAAAAGATTTCATGATTAGAGCGGCGATGATGGGACAGATCAAATTACCTCACACGCAGCACCAGAGACGTCATTACATTGTCGGTAAGAGTGAACTCTGCTCTCCCACACGGGGGATGACTAACTGAACCATTAGGCCAAACAGACAATTACAAAATATACACATGCACAGCTCAGAAATGCCTCCGTCCTGAACTACTAGCCTGGAAAAACGCAACAAATGTTAGGATTCGTCTCACATCCAGTGTTGTGTTTTAAGTGTGCAAGGCAGTAATTTCTACTCTCAACAAACCAATTTGATAACTAAGCAATTCTTGGGTTAAATAAAAATAAATATATATTTATTTGTTTTTGTTTGACACAAAAATCTGTTAAAGCAATGCTGATTACGTTTCAGCCTTTCCGTGCACAAAATAACGTGCCAGCAGTTCTGACGTAAGAAGCTGTTAGTAGTTCAATTCTTTTTATTTTGCACAACAGTGAATGGTGCATCTATGCTTTTTTATTTTTCTATTTGCTTAAAGGAAAGGTTAATAGTTTCCGTTTACACATCCAAAAAATATGTATGTAAAAATATGTATTTCTGTCACATCCAGTCAGAAGCACACTATGAATAATAATGCATAGTTTCTCATATCATCATTATGATATTTAACAGCTTTATTGTGCATCACATTTTTTGTCAATATCGTGCAGCCCTACCGTCTAGCCCTGATAATATTTAAAAACAATAAAAAAGCAACAGTAATAATTCTATAGTAAAAATTCTGCCTTTCTAAAGGCCAACAGAACGTGTCACTATAGTATAACAGTAATGCAGAACAGTGAGCTGTTTACAGCGGGAGCACTTCAGACAGTTACATGTATGATGATAATGATCGACGCAAAAGCAAAATGTCTGATTTTCTTGGTTGTGAGCCAATTACCAAACGAAAGCCACAAATCAACTTCCTGTTATGGCACTGGAGCTACAAACCGTACTATCAGAGTATCAGCACAGTTAATCACCCTCCTTCCTTCAACCTGACTGAAGCTATTGTAAACTGCAGATATGCAATGTCCTCATTACATTAGCCATTTCCATCTTTATGTTTCCATTGCTATAAGATTTAAGATGTTTTCCTTAAAATATGACTCGTGCTTTACTGCTCTTACGAGAGAGAGAGGAACAGTATGTCACTGTATATCTGTATATGTCACTTTTTCACAATGCAAACCAAGGAAAGCTCTTCTGTTTTTCACAAAACAAGTGTATAACAGGCAGCCTGTCACACTTCATGACAGGAAGGATCACTTACTTGCTGCTGAAAGCGACTGCAATGGTCTCGATGGCTTTCTCAAAGTCCTTCTTGTCAGATTCATTGCAGACTTCATAGTGGAACCCTTAGATCAAACATAGCAGTGTGTCAGGATAAGATTATCATCGCTGTCTGAACAAAATCGCTTATCTCCCAAAAAAGTAACTTTAAAGGAGATGACAAAGAAACAGTTCATCTAACGAGACTTTATTCTAAGTCATTCTGGGACATTTCTGTTGTTCCATTCATCATGTAATTCTGAAACAATGTAAAAGGCAGATGGTGATTTCAAATAATGTAACAAAAAATGGAGCGTTTGTTCCAACAGAAACGTTATATAGATTATATTTACACAAGCATTAAAAAAGTTTGGAATTGCTGTTTTCAATAAAATTTAAAACAACCGTTATAGATAAATGTGTGAATGGTTCTATTATGATGCTACTACTGTACAACTTCACAGATTTCAAGTGATTAGTAAGAAGCTGTGAAATACAGAAGAAATGAAGAACAGGGCTATAGATGATTCCATAATGACTGGAAAACTGTAAACATTGAGAATGAAGTTCTAATTAACATCCAGAATGACTCATTTTTGAAATGTGATGTTCTAAAGGCAGACGGTACATCACAAAATGACTAAAAATAAGTATTTAGAGAGTATCATTGATCATTTAGTAAGCTTTTTTGTTCCCAAAAACAGTACTTAAAGAGTAAAAGGTGTCTGTCACTTTCAAATGATCTGTATATATATATATATATATATATATATATATATATATATATATATATATATATATATATATATATATATTGATCAATGGACCAACAGAAACAGTCCAAAATGACATCAAACACTGTAACATTAACTAAGGATGCATCTCAAATGGCTCCATACTCCCTGGAGTACATAGCATTTCAAATAGTGGCTCCTGCTCCCAAACAGTGCAAAACATGTTTAATAAACGGTCATTTGGGGTTCAGTCTTGTGCACACAATGCCAATTCCATTAGCCACTTAGGGCACGATATAGGGAGTAGGGAGCAATTTGAGTTTGGAATGTTTCTTCATTCAAGTTACCAGGTTTTGTTCAGACAAATACATATATGAACATACATATACATGTATGTAAATAATTATTTTTTTTTGTTTTCACAGACATACAGATTTAACACCTGGATGTTTCTACTGTTTTTCTGCAATGCTTTGTTAAATATCTGTCCTATTTATGCCTGTATAGAATTCTCACTGCCTTATCATCGCTGTTAATATAGATATTATGCAAAAGTGTCAGTATCTGCCAAAACTTCACTCACACATTTCAAAAACCTTTCACATCATACTTCAGAAAGCTAGACAAGATAAACAAGAGTGCTGTCTGACCTTTGACCTGGGAGATAAGCTTGCCAGCTGCAGTGAGGGTCTCCACCGTGTTGAGAAGGGGGTACATGCTGATGACCTGCCGCAGGATTCGCAGGACCTCCCCCAGACACTCGTGGGCCAGTGGCCGCCGGTTCTCCTGTTTGTCTGGAAGAAAACACCCACGCGGCGCACTGAGACAGCACTCCACTTCACTTTGAACATAGCAGTCAAGGTGCACAGACAGGGCCACAGCTACGGTCAGACTAGCTCAGAGTTCACCAATGCAAACACTTTCTGACTGAGGCTTTAGTTCCCTGCTGGTACGTTAAATGATCAGCAAAAGACACTGAAAATAATCCTATCACGTCTGTAGATGTGAAGATCCTCATGGACCTACAGGCACCCTTAAAATAAGACTACCAACAAAGGTTCATTGGAGCGATGCTTGAGAAGAACCACGTTCAATTCCCTAAAGAACCTTAAAGCTACACTATGTAAAATTTGGGGATTTGGAGCCATCTCTGGTGGAAATGTGTAATTGCATGCAACATGTGGAAGAACATTTTGTAATGTGGGTTGTGCTTCGGACCCCTTGCCCAAGTGGATGATTCTGATGTTTACAAGTATGTTCAACGGTTTTCAAAGAGAACTCAGTTAAAACTTGGTGAAGTGAGTGAATTATCTACTGTTGTCATCATATTTTCATCAGTACAATGTTGATTTTGCATTTGAGCGAGAACTTCTTTTTGAGCCTGTGCATATGGCGTTAATATGTAAAGACATATGACGTGGTCCGAAAAACTCCTGCGAAGTCTGACCCAACAGCTCTGACTTTTAAATGATTATTTCAGGCTTTACAGGGCGACTCGCAGTGGCGCACACGCGCCATAGTTTAGCGTGTTTTTTCAGTCTGATTCAGTAATGATGCCTCATCTTACATAGTGTGAAAAGGGCCACACAATGAAGTAGTGGGTGTACTGAGTCTAACTTAGCAAGACCAGCATAGCTACAACTTTCTTTAGTAAGAAAAATGGTTCTATAAAGAACCATGAACACTCAAAGAACCCATGATTAAAGTGTTCTTTGCATCGTGAAAGCGTTCTTCAGATTGATGGGGAATGTGCCGTAGATGGTTCTATATAGAACCTTTTTGAAAAGACTTCTATATAGCACCCAAAAGGGTTCTTCTATTGTTACGATGTCAGGCTTGTTACAATAGAAGGTTTTCGTCAGTGGTGAAAACAATATTTTGTCATATTTTTTATTATATTATGCATCAACATTTTACAAGGGCATGGGTATCACAGTGTCTTCATGTTGGAGGACATGACGCCCATGCGGAGCTAGGCCTGCCACCATCATGAAAATTTGGCAATTAACTGCCACAGAAATAATAGTGATTCAAAAATTTCACAAACTTTTTTTGTTAACATTATGCCATTAGTACAAGTCTGAAGTTGTCAAATTGGCCAACTTCTTCCTAGCGGATGAGATTTAGTAGCTCTATAACAACGACAGACACAATTCCAGCTCCACTAAACAAACACTTCTCGCCACCCCCCTCTAAAGGTGTTAAAGCACTGGTCAGAACTTAGAAGTTTTTGTTATAAGACCTTCGATGTCTCAGTAAATGCCCCTCTGCTGAATGTGATGAATGTGCAGTGGCAAGACTGACCAACGGAATAAAGCCCTTCCTTCTCAGAGTCTGTGTCAGAGAGAGAGAGTGAACTGACAATCAGACGACAGTGCAGGGACCCACGCCCTGAGAGCTGATTTACAGGAGCCGAATCTGCTTTCAACTCTGCTGCAACACCTCTGAAAACCACTTCCTCCTTTCTGTACCGGAGACCTACACACGAAGCAGCAGAGCACACTTCCCCCCTCAATCTGTCAAAACAACGCAGCTACAGAGCTCAGGGCTGTGACCGAGACGAGGCTGAGGGGAATGAAAGACAGCAGCACAGCATTCAGAAAGAGATTTCTCACAGCCATGCACAATCACAACCACCTGATTCAGAAATCCCTCTCACAGCCTCGACGAGCCCGGCCCACACGCGGCACGCCAGAGCGGTACTTCTGAAAAACAATGTAAAATCATTCATTTGCCTGTGTTAAGGTCACATAATGAACCGTTAGACATCTAAAGTGTATAAAGCCTGCTATTTCAAAATAACCAAGTTACTACATAATTAGTTACATATTTGTGTAACGAATTCCTTATTATTTACAATATTTACATCTGATTGGATCTGTCCATGATGCATCAATGGGTTCTGCATTTCCGACAACATCAATAAAGGACTAAACCTGGTAAAAAAGGATTTTTTTTTTCACAAGACTACACACAATAACTTTATCAAATTCATATTATAATAAAATATCTCCTCTTCTACATACAAATACAAACATGGTAGTGCTTTAAAGTTAAAAATGCACACTTTGGTAGAACTGATCATTTGCAAAATAAGGACTAACACACCACTTGATCAATCACAACAGTCTCTAAGCCCTACATCCTCCGACAAAGAGAAAACTCCACAGAACAAATGTGGAGTCAGAATAATGGCAGCAGTAAAAGAGGAACACATAATTCCAACACAAGCTATCCTGGGCTGGTGTTTTTCTTTTATTCCTGAAGCTGGAAGTTTTGGATTCAACTCTGTGGAAGAGCAAACTCAGAGGTCAGAGTAAAACTATAGTAAAAACTAATAACAGTGTGGCTATTAATTAAATCTTAATCATTCTAAATAACTGTTCATTTTGCTGGAAGCCAAGGTAGGATAAACTTTATCTGGATTATTAATTTACAATCCCTGATACACTGTTAGAAATAAAGGTTCTCTGTAGGTACATTTTTCATTCATCAAGGTACAAACAATGTAAATGTTCCCTTAAAAGGTACAACAGTGGTTTTAAGGTCTGATTGTGAACCTTAAATAAGTTTTTCCGGGTGAAAAGTTCATATTTGTATCTTTTCATAACTGAATGTTTTAAAACAGAACAATAAAATAAAAGCCTGGAGACGAGACGGGGGGTGTGGAGTCAGTACGACTTAGAAAATACATTTTCAGTGGATTGTGGTACAATTATGTTCCCTGACTAAAGGTACTGAGATGATTAAGGGTACCACCCCAGTGACAAGAGGGGTACCACCCCAGTGACAAGAGGGGTACCGCCCCAGTGACAAGAGGGGTACTGCCCCAGTGACAAGAGGGGTACTGCCCCAGTGACAGTTTTGAAATGATATTTTCAGTAAGCTGTACTGACTCCACACACCCCGTCTCGTCTCCAGGCTTTTTATTTTATTGTTCTGTTTTAAAACATTCAATCACACATTTTCTTTTGACATGCAGTATCAGGAAGGTCCCTGAGCTAGCTGAGAGATTTCCTCTAGGTGGGGGTGGTTGGATGGGGAGGTGAAATTACTATCATATTATTAGTTTAATACCCCTTTTCCCCACCTGCTGGTGCACAGTGATGTCATCAAAAAGTTGACAATGTTTAAGAGGCGGGCAAAAGACTTTTTATTTTTGATGGAAAAACAAAAATGTTTTCTTTAAAATGTTATTTAATGATACATGCTGAATATGACCACACATACCAATTAACATGGAATGGTCTACTTTGATTTGTTTTAATACTGTATTACATCATGCTTTCGTTATCAAGGGTGATAACTGGATCTTTTAGTAGTTAAATAACTCGGATTCAGAGAAATACTTAACAAGTTTGTGCTGAAATTTAAAGCCAAAATGCATTTATTAGAAAATTCTCTGCATGTTTTCATTGTGTGATATGAAGCCCCAGGTGAGGTGTGACGCGGGCTGAGAGTGAGTCTGCCGTGCTGTGTGTGTTGTGCTGTGAGAGGAAGGGGGATGTTCGCTGAGAGTAGTTTCCTGTTTGAGTGCGGTGCGCCACAGAAACTGAAGCACAGAGAAACAAGCGGAAGCTTGATGTGGCTCTGGCCACGCCCCCTTTTCCTCCTGCACCAATCGTGTGACAGGTGGCCTAACTACAAGTCTGGACAAACACCTTCTGTTTTACGTGCTGTTTGGCCATACGTACTGAAGACAAAGCGCAGTTTTAGAGCAGCAGTGAGGAATCGCAGAAATCCGGCCACAAGACCCATCAATCACTTCAACTGTACAGACCCAAAGCATCACGTACGCACAGTGCTGCTGCCTCAGCAGGTGTGCGGCTGATGTCTGAAAACCTCTATCGCTGCACAACTGAAAAGGCAGAGAACTCACAGACACAGAGAGACACATTTAGTGTTATATTAGGGTACAAATGTGTACACCTAGTGAATATTTAAAGCTAGATTCACCCAAATCCCTACATAAAAGATTTACGCAACATCTAAATTACTGTTCTCTTTGGCTCTTTCAGGAAAAACCCCTGTAATGAACATTAAACTTTGCCACATTGAGCACATTAAATTTCTCTTTGACTTTTTTGTACTGTAGCTTATGGAGGTGTAACAACACAGAATATTAATTATGGACTATGATATCAGAAACATTTGGTATCAGCGGATATTTTCTTTAAAAAAAATAATCAGATATCAGCATTGGCCCACGATTCCCCTGTCAAATTAATTGGAGCTCTATATGGTACAGTGAAAAGTAATTTTTTTTTCTATTTTTTCTGCCATTTTTTACCTACTTCTCGTTACCGCAGTGTGTCCACAAATCTGTTTCTCACTAACAATATTTATCTTTTTCTGCTTTTTAATTAAAAAAAGTAGTTTGTATTACTCTTAACTGTTGAATCTCTTTCATTTTTAACGAAAACAACAAAATATTTCAGGATATTACCATTTAAGTACACTGATGCAATGTAAATTTGAGGACCTGCCCACAAGTATATACAAGATATTTTGTAAAACACTCACTTGGTGGAGAATTTTAAAACCTCCATCCTCAGTGTGGACGAGCAAAATGCAGCTTTTTGACAATGTTAACTTGCATCTGTAGCTGTTTTTATTCATTAAATATGCAGAACACTGACTGAAATATGACTGAGGACTGGGATGTTTCTGTGTGCCCCGCAATTTACGTTTGGCTTTATTTCTTTACTAAACTGCAGTGCAGAGGTTTGCGAATGTCTTGCACTCTGCTCTTGTGAATGGGGCCTCATTTCAACTGCAAACATTAAAAATACCTCAATGATTATAAACATATGTGTCTTGATGATCATTACCCAAAGTCAGGTTTGGAATAAATCCAATCCCTCGCGAGTTCACTTTTTTAAGCTTTTATTTTCCAGCACAAATCAGACTTCGATTCTGAGTGGAACAGTGTTTTGTTCCACTCAGAATCGAAGTCTGATACTAAATACACTCCGCCATCATATTGTTTGAAAATCCCTGATTTCTATATTCCGCGCAGTGCACACGCTCACAATGTTCTTCCTGAGGTGGGCATCAAATTTCACGGGGTATTATCGTCACCCTGCTGGGCTGGTGTGCTCATGTCCTTTTGTGTTCTCATATGGACGCAGAGATTTTGGAAGGCGCTGCTACTGGGCAAAGACTTTTTTGAAAACTTATTTTTCTCAACACACTCTATTTAAGGTCAATTAGTGACTGAATAAAAAAGAGCTAGAAGCTAAAACATGCTCTTGTCTGCATGTAGCTGCACACAGACACTGTAAGGAAGATCAAAGAAAACTACTCATAGGTGTGAAATGAGATAAAACAGCAGAGCATGTACAACAGCAAAGAAGAAACAAGCTCGGCAGAAAGCTACTTCATCTGGAGAGAGGACAAATGTCTGAAGCCTAATCAGATCTCTATTAGAGGCGGGGGAAATATAGCAAAATGTTGTATCCTGACACTTCAGGACGCTTTTTATATTACATGATGTGTCACGGTATTTATTTTCCTGACATCTGATAAGTTAGAACAGGTGAGGTAAGCCTACAATTTGAAAACACTCAAAAACCATGGATTCAATTATTTGTATGCAACACTTCACACACTGTGCTGCACTAAACCCAACTGAACAGGCCTAATTAGCTCTCTGTGAAGTCACACATACAGTTGTGATGTGTGTTTTAGGTACTGATGATATCCATGATACGCTCAGAAAAGCATACTGTGACATACCGTAATGTAATTTATCACAATAATGATAAATATTGGTATATTGCCCAGCTGTAATCTCTACTCATGAATAATCTCTGAGTGCTATACGCCTCTAGAACACAAACACTGCAGCTTATTAATAACTCCTTCCTTTACATGATGATTGTAGCGTTGTTTAAAGGAAGTGATTATTATCAATGGACCGTTTAGACCCACATGCTTTCCCTCCCTTCATTTACATACAGGTCTAAAACTGTATGTGAGAACCACAAGAACACTCGTGCTACAAATCCATTAATTAAGTTTAACAGCAGGGGGTGTAAATATGTGACCTCACTATTCAACTGCTACTCTTTGAGAAATTATTCAATTTATCAAGAAGTCTCAGACTTCGCCACAGTTGGATTTAATTATTTTGATACAATTCTGAATTATTTACTAAATACACTAAGTAGGATATAAATATAGGGACAGTTTATACAGCAGTGCAGTGGTCACCAAAGCTCTTCCTGGAGATTTACTTTCCTGCTCATTTTAGTTGCAACCTGTGTCTAACATGCTGCCCCCTCCTTACCCAACACATGCATTTAACCCAGCCAATCAAGCACTTCTGAAGAAGTTAATTAGCTGGAGCAGGGGTGACAGACTCTGGCTAGAACTAGACTCTGCAGATCTCCAGGACTAGGGTTGGTGACCACTGCTGTATTGGGAAACAGAGACAATAAAATCTTTTTAATTTTTATGTTTCACAATAGACCAAGATTATTTTCTGAAAGTAGTTAGAGACGCATCTAGACGTGCCGATATTCAATACACATCTAGACATGTGCCGACGTTCAATAATCAGGTGTACTGTCATATCTAGCACACACAGTGCTGTTCTCGTGCTTACTTTGAAAGACCGTCACTGCATTTTAGGCAATTAAGTTGCAGTTCAAGGCAATTTTTAGATTCGCAGAGCAGCTCTGCTTTCACAAGCTCTCTCACGAGCACTGTCACACTGTGACCTCAGGCTTTATTTGATGTTTGGCCAAAGAGCTGTGCTAGTTAGAGTACCAAAGGTCCACCACTTGATCTGAAGAAATAAAAAATCTAGAGAAAACCAAAGACATGATGCCCATTAAAGGGGAAATTTCTGATTAATTAACTTATTACGATGTAAAAAAGTCATTCAGAGTGGTTTGGTGTGAAATGCTTTGTTCAAGTTCAGTTCACCAAGTCAGAACTGTCCACAGTGGTGGTGATTGGAACCAGACCCCTCAAGAGTTAAATGCCTTTAAAAGCTGCCTCACAGAGAGCAATTACATGAAACGGTTATAAACACTCTGCTTGATGTCTGAGACACTGAGACACTGTTTCATTAAAGTCTGAGATTTGCTTTTTGCCTATAACATGTATTTTGTAATACAGTCATGGTGGAGAGGTACATGTAGGGTGTTGTAAGGCAAAATAGTTTAGAATGAAAACTTGTTTTTAAGATTTAATATTATTTTACCATTATCATCATTATATGTAGAAACTATAGGCTATACTTGTGTTGTAGACATTGTGACTCCTGGTTCCCATCACCACCACTGTAAACAATTCTGTATATGATAGCATTTCACATCTAACCACTCTAAATGACCTGTGGACTCAAACTGACACACAGAAATTTGGAAAATCTTGTAGAGTTTCTCTTTAAGACAGCATTCCAGAAATGAAGACCCCTGTGCTGTTATGCGAGAGCCATCAGGGGAGGGAAATTCCCAGAAATGTATAAAAACAAATTATTACCATATGATTGTTATTGTTATGTACATGTATTATCTTACACATGTAGTGCTTTTTGGCTTCAACAATATCGTAATATAAGAGATAATATAAGAGAAGGTTAGATAATCATGTTCAATTTTTAGATGCACCATAATATTCTGCTGCATTTTTACAGCCCAGCTCAAGTACACTCAAAAATAAAGACTCCTAAATGGTCCCTGGCTTGAATATGCAGTTCTACGAAAAACCTATACATGATATGAGGAGGTTCCTTAAACTTTAAAAAGGTTCTTCACACTCACATATCTTACTTACTTTTCTTGAAGGAACCATCCATTGAGAGGTTCTTCAGGGAACCAATAGGGGCTTTTCTACAGCATCGCTCCAAAGAGCCCTTTTTGAAACGTATATTAATAAAGTCAACGAGATAGAAATCGTAACGCATGTTCCTCTCATGCTGTGACATACTTCTGAGTGAAACATGGTATCAGGGAAGCTCTCTGAGCTAGCTGAGCATTTTCTCTCTATGATACGGGGTGGCATGATATTATTGGTTAACCCTTAAAAAGCCAGGGCCCACCGGCAGGCCCAGAGTTTTACCACACACTTCTAAAACCTAAGAATAACTCAGCTAGTTTGCACTGAGGTCCCTGTAGTTCCTGAATAATAAACCGTAGTATGTAATAAACCTGAGACTTTAAGGATTTAATATTATTGTCCCCACCCACAGGTGCATGGTAACGTAATCTAAAATCTGACGACGTTTTAGAGGTGGGAAAAAGACTTTACACTTCAACAAAAGATTACTGAAAAGCAAGACTGTGTCTTTTAAATGGTATCATATAACGAACCACACTTAATATGACTAAAGATAAGACCAATACAAGGAATTGTCATTTCGATTTTTTCTTTACTTTAATATTTCATTACACTGTGCCTTTTTTCATCTTCAATGTTATTTTTCCCCGCCTGCAGTTGCACAGTGACATAATAGTGAATCAGAAGATGTTTTAGAGTAGAGCTGGGACAATAAGCACATTTTAATAAGCGATAAATTAGACAAAATTGTTGAAAAATATCAATATTTTTATTAAACAGTAACACTCAATATATCTAAGATAATGTTCCCTTTTATCTCAGAGTAGACGTCAAAGCCTTAAAGCCTTAAAGCCTTAACACACTGAGTCTGAAAAAAACAACCCAAAACATCAAAACAGGATTGTCAGTGTGAGTCATTCACTGCTGTGCGTGTAAATTTGAATAAAACCAGGAGTGGAGTTTCAGATCACGGATCAGAGTGATGAATGCTCACTCTTACTAAATGGAAAGAAATAACTTATCGATTACTTTACTTAGCGATTATCGATGGCTGTTATTAGTGATTATAGTTAAATTAAAAAATGATCCCAAGCCTGTTTTAGAGGAAGGCAAAAGTGAATTCACTTGAATTCACAAGTGAATTTACTTTATAGATTACAGGAAAGCAGGTCTTTTAAATGATATATGATAAACTGTGCTTAATACGATGAGGGACACTTTGAGTTCAGTTCACTTTAAAACTGTATCATAAAGGTTTTTTAGTTCAAAAGTGTGCTGAACAGAAAGGCTCGGAGACACGTTCACCCTGACTGAGCAGTTTCTCCTCAAACCGAAACCCATCTGTCTCTTACCTTCCAGCACCACGTCTTTCAGTTTCTCCACAGCCTCGGCGAAGCGGGCCACCACACGCAGCAGCGAGGGGATGTCCTCCACCTCGATGATGGCGGGCATCTCCACGGCCTCTGCCTGCGGGCTCTGGGCGATGGCTGCTCGGCCCTGGCCTTTGCTGAACACCCACGACTGGAGAGGAAAGCCTGCGGCGCTGGCATGGCGGCTCAGGGCTGTGGGTCTCTTCAGGGTGCCCACAGGGGAGGGGCAGCCCACCAGTTTGGTGTGCTGGGCAGAGGGAGTGCCCGGGCAGCTCGGGGCATCTGCGACAGAGGAGCAAAGACTGGCAGGATTGGCAGAAGAAGAGGTGCTGGAATCTACAGTATCTTTCCGAGGCTGCTCCTGGAGAATGGACAGCTGAGAAGAAAGGAAAATAACAGAGTCACAAACACAGTTCTAAGTTGGGGAGAAAATACTGTAAACTACATTACAAGAATGGTACGAGAATGCGGCTTTAAGGAGCTGGGGTTCTGTGAAATGGCATAAATCTAGCCTGAAATAGCACTCGCACTGTGTGATGTCACATGTGTCATAAAAGTGGACTTGTATGATTGAACAAGTAAATATATAAGGTAAAAACAGCAAATAAACTAAGAAATTGTTTTACAAAACACAAATGAATGTATTCTGAGAGGAGTAGACATGTTAATTCCAGCACATATCTTACATTTTCTTGTACTGCATTTTTCCCTCTGAGGTCCACTGATGTCCTTTGTGTGAGTTTATGTACCAAAAACAGTCGTAGCTGATTTTTACATTACCATTATCTGAACTCCCGTTACCCCTTAGAATTAAACAGAATTAAACTGTTTTTATTACCGTGCCTTTAAGACAGATATGTAAATGAGCTCTGTTCTGATTGCCTGGCATCATTCAAAAAGCAGTCTAGCCTGAAACACTCCTTGTAACTTCAGCGTAAATGGACGGGGCTAAACTGCTGTAGGCTGAATAGGAGGATAAATGTACATGTGCTGATTTTTGTCACATCACAAAAACAACGGGTTCAAAATAAGCTGTTTTTGCAGGTAATTTCCATATATGGACTGTGTGGACTGGGGAGTGAAAGGTACTTTCTGAAACATTGTGTTTTCATACTACATCAAACTTTTTTTATTTAAAAAAAAGTGAGCAAAATATGTTTTCCATGATATTCTTCACTCTGCATTTTAAAAACCACTTATGACGATTGCGTGTTTACATATCTCCCATCTTTCTTTATCCAGTAGAATTAAACAAGCTGTTTTTATTCCCTTAAGACTGATATATGGAAATAAGCTCTGCTCTGATTGGCTGCCTTGTAGTTTGTATCATTCAAAAGCAATCCAGGCTGAAACACTTCTTATAAGCTGTTTTTTCACAAAAAGTCACAAAAACAATGAATTCAAAACATGCCGTTTTTGCAACTTAGTCTCCAAATACGGACTGCATGGACACAGAAGTGAGGAAGATTTAGTTTTCCATGATAAGAGCTGTTTAAAGCTCTGTCGCTTTCCCAACAGAGTAGCCTACTGAGTCACATGCATAGTGGGCACAAACAGACCGGGGGGCTTCTCTTCAGAGGCTGCGATTAAGTTAAGCAGTCAGAATGTTTTTGAAACCTACCTGGTCAAGCGCCAAGCTCTAAAATGAGTCAATCCAAGGCCTAACGCTGACATGTATGAGTCTAAAGAGGAATGAGAATGTACTCCCACTTGCAGGGACAGATCTGGCTGGGTGAGCCATGAAAAGGGATGTTTTGCGTTATCTGGGCTGAGTAAGTAGCAACATTAGCTGCAAAAGTAACCATCAAACCACAAAGCTTACTCGCGCAATGTAACTGTCCTTTTCTAATAACATTAATTTTACATTAGCTGTGGGTAAAAATATTATATCACAAGATACTTCAAGACATTTTCAGGTTACACAATATGCATTACGATATTTCGTTTTTCTGTGATTTAATAGGTTGGAACAGACAAAATAGAACCTGTAGTGCCACATATAGTAATAATAATAATAATAATAATAATAATAATAATAATGATAAACCTACAGCTATAATGATTTTACAGAAGTCCGGAGAGGCCATGAGCTGTCACAAGACAGTTAAGTTGCTATGCTGAGATCACGACTTAGTTATCTTGAGATCTAAAGATAACTTATTTTACATAGGTATAAAAGCAGGATTTGCTCAATGCGAGCGAGTGTCTTTAATTTTAACAACTATTACAGAACGTTAGCACTCCAGCTGGCCACCTAGCGCAGCTGAACTACCTCAGTACACGGTGTGAAACAGCGTGAACATGTGAAGGAGAGAGGAAGCGTGTATGAATGAGTAACAGAGACGTCAGAGAAAAAAGAGAGGTAGTAATACTGACTGTGGCATAGTGAGAAGACAGTTATAAAACAATCTGAGAAACTAAGTCGAGTGAGCTAAAATCTCTCGCTCCATCTCTTGAATCAGAACAGCTGGAAGAAATGAAGGACCGAATTATTTTCTCTCCCTTTTCTCCTCTCTGTCTTTCTCACTCTCTTATTCTGAACTGTTCAGTGCTAGTTGTAACAGTTTAATAAACTTCTACAATACTGCACTCATTTGCAAACATTGTTATTGACATTTTCTAGTGGACAAGTGATTTTGGCCTTCGGACAGTAAAATGTGGCTCTAACCTTCCACAGGACAAGCTCACTGTCAAGCCCTGTATGCTCTTTTTCATCAAGGTAGTCGAGTGTTTTAGATTTTTTAGACGATCATCCCAAGCGAAGTGCTTAAATTAAGAACGGCTCATTTTAGAGGAACCAAATCCTACATTTTTCTTTATTTTATTTGTATTTTATTTTTTTCCCCCCGAGGTCCACTTATAACAACTGTGCACCAAAAGAGTCATAATTCGTTTTTTATGACCATTTTCCAACTCCTCTATCCCTTAGAATGAAACAGGCTGTTTATGTTACTGTGCCTTTAAGACTGATATACTAGATATATGCTAAATGAGCTCAGTTCTGATTGGCTGTCCTGCATTGTGCCTCATTCTGAAAGCACTCAGAGCTGAAAACACTCCTTACAACTTCAATATGAATAGTATATTATATATCATTATAATATATAATATAAAGATATATGTCCATTAGTTGATTGACATCACAAAAACAATGAAATCAAAGCAGGCTGTTTTTGCAGCACAGTTTCCATATACAAAATATAAGATCTACATACTACTTCAAACTCCTTTACTTCAGTGAGGTTCTTCATGATATGGGTCCTTTAAAGTTTAGTCATTTTTAACTGAAAAGACATTGTACCCGTATCTGTATTTACCAATACTTAAGGTTTCAATGTTAGTGTCTGTATTGGAGATGACAACGTGGCATCACGCCATCTGTAGGTGTTGTTTTTTTCTGGTCACGGGTCAAGACGTTTAGACAAAGTCTGCAAGACAGCTGTTGGTAAACGAAGCTTCTTTCACAAGAGCCGGTTGTGTAACGCTGAGGCCTATTTCCTGTCACACCCTGAACCAGGAGTTAAAGCATACCAACAGCACAAGCACGAGTTTTCAACATGTTAACAACACCATAAACTAACCCATTTACACCTCATACGAAAAATGAGAGGCAGTGGATCTCATAGTGCACCTTTCACTGTATGGCCTTCTGAAATATGAGTGCCTACATAATATAATCGAATACAGATGCCGCTCATAAACACAATCTAAATTTGATGCTCATGAACAGTAACACAGCGCATCAGCCTAATTCATGATAAACCATGAGCACTGGCTTCAGTGTTATTACCCAAATCGGTAGGGTACAGTGTATTAAAATAAAAATATTAATACCACAAGTAAGCTCGGCCTGTATTTATGAACTGTGGGCCGATATTTTTCCTGTACAGGTGCTCTATCACACATATAAGTTCACATCATAGAAGTACAATCATTCTATCAGGTTAAACAAGCAGTAAAATGAATAACATGCATACATTTTAGAGCAGTAACCAAGCACTGCTTAAACGTTTTGCTCCTCCATAGTGCAATAAATACCTCAGAAAATATCTGGTTAAAATATCAGTTAAATATAAACATCTGATATCGATTTTTTTTGTCCGCCGATACCGATAATTCCGATATTATCGTGCATCCCTAGTCGGCCTTAATCAGACACACATACAGAAGTCTTACGCTTGTAGAAGACGAGTGAAGGACATGAGGACCTACCTGCTTGAGCCACACGTTGGGTCTATTGGGCAAGATATCCAGTTTTGTTTTACTGTCTGACTTCTTGACCCTCTGGCTCGTCGAATATGGACTGTAGCTGCTTTTCCCACCTGCTCCCCGTTTCATCATTTTCACAGAAGTCTCACAAAACCGAACAAACCGAACGACGGAAAGACCCGAGCGAAACCGAGCCCATCCTGCGCGACGCTGAACACGCTGACAGGCTCTGCTAACACAGCGTGTCAGTCAGCTTTAGCAAAGTAAACTGAAAATTAGTAGTTAAAACTACACTATTTGATCGTCTACTGAAAGCACTTCCAACAATATCCCGACAAAACACTAATAAATATTAAAAACAGCTTAATTTGTACTTTAAATTCCTATTAAAATTTCCGAATTTGAGAGCAAGGTGCTAGCAGCAACCAACCGTCGTCACCTAGACAGGCACTTCAGAGCCACCGTTCCTGTCAGACTAAATCTCTGAAGGTCAAAGTCAAACCAAACCGAGCTCACAGCGAGTTTCCAGACCCTCAGAATCCCGTTCGCCCTCTCAGGAAGGTTTTGCTGGCCCCGCAGGGCCGCAGCAGAGAGCGGGGTGCAGGGCGGGAGGAAGGAGGTGAGGATGCTCTGCTACTTACTGATGAGGAGCTGAGAGACGAAGCGCTTCCTGTTCCACTCTTCTTTGACATGGACTGCGTTTTTATCAGTTCCTTTTTCTTTTTGGAGAACATTTTAGCGTCAAGGTTGGGTCCTCGGGGCTACTTCTCTGGCTTTTCTTTACACTGTAGACCCCCCACCCGCCCCCCTGCTCCCCATCTCAGTGCACTCCGGCTCTTTACGGGCTCTTTTCCATGCGCCCTGTGCGCCCCGGTGCCCTCCTGCTGCTCATCACACGTTCACTCGCCTGCTAACGGCGCTCACAGCAGCCCGACACCACATCCGCTTTGAGCTGTTTTTTTCCTTCTCAAAGGCAAGTGAAAGCAGCACATTAAGGTACAGGCTTAGCTAACACTCCTCACCTTCTGCTACACACTTTTAAAGCTGTGGGTTGGGTCTATCTGAAGGGGAATTCCACCGCTTTTTCAGATTTTCTGCACAATTCGGTCGTTAAGATGTAAACATGAGTCCTTCCTTCAGAGTGCATTGTAGAGAAGCTTGCCCCCTCAGATTAATTCACAGTGGTGGTGATAGGTGATGATATCTAGAACTTTATTTTATTTGCTGACCAAAATGACTAAAGGACCTACACATGAGTTTTTGAATGTAATGTTGATGATAAAAAAAAAAAACAGTGGTCTGGAAATAAACATTAAGCAAAAGTACTGTAAAAACAGATGTCTGGTTCCTATTACCACCACTGTGAGGAATTCTAACATGGCAGGTTTCTCTAGAACGAGGGATTTCACATCAAACCACTGGACATAACTTTGTTCACATCTTTACCATCCAACAATGCAGATGTTTTGAAAAATTTGTGGAATTCCCCTTTAACTAGCCTGCAATGATGCCCTACATTCACCACCATATGTGGGTAACTACTTCCATTGGCTCAGTTATATGGACCTTTGTATAATTTTGTCTTTTCAAATAATATAGGACTTAAATATGTTTGTAAGATTGTTCCTTATTTTCATTTATGTCCTCAGATTTATTTCTATTGCAGTAATTTGACTGAATTTAATACAGTTGGGTTCAGCTCCTGGACTGCTTTGCACCTACTGCTTTTTACTCACTTTGGAGCTTTAGTATTTTAGAGAAGAACAAACCCAAAAAATCCTGTGCTGATAGATGCAGAATGTTCTAAGAAGATTTTAATGTAGTTCTATCAGGATTTCAGTATCTGAGGAGTTTTAGATTCTATGCATTTTCACTGAAGTTGGTTTTTAATGCAACGTTTACTTCTATTTGTTCAGTTGAAATAGCACCACTTTTGCCAGATGACGGTTGTGAGCTAACTCTACCCACGTCTAATCACTAAATATAGTCTCTGTAATTCCCCCTACAGTGTCTTCCTATGTATCCTATTTCTGTTATGTGATATGTAATTTTAATGCTTACACTGCAATGACACCTACCTTCATTAATAATCTTGGAAAGTGATTTTTTTTTTGTTAAACGTATTTATTCTAAAACAGTCCATGTTTATAATACATAAAGGGATTTAATACAGTCGATAAAATATGCCCAGGCTCTCCTGGGCAACATTTCATCATGAAAATATGTCCAAGAGTGTTGTGAAAGCATCAAATGAAAAGATCCCCACTGCAGTCCTCAGATGCAGTCCAGGGTCTGGAGTGCTCAGAGTAGGTCCATAAGATTAGCTCATAAAAAAGGTAAAAACATATAATAAAAATAAAAATTGGTCATTTTCACAGGTCCATGGTGGTCCATGTGGCCATAAAAGTCACAAAAGTAGCAGTGTGTGTGAATTAAAGCTCTGTGGCAGGACCCCATTCCATGTCATCGGTTTCATCTTCGTCATTGTAGTCATCATCATCGTCGTTCTCTGAACTGTCGCTGCCCCTGATCTGGGTTCTTCGCATCAGCATTGCTTCATGATGTGCCAACCTGAGAATCAAAGAAACGTTACTGAAAATGTGTTTCATTTTTTGGTGTATTAAACTAACAACTGATATAAATTCCTTGAGCAATAATACATGATGATACTTACACAATATAGGAGGGGACAGCCTTTTCTTCTGGCTCTGCCATGCGAGTCTAAAAAACAGAAAAATCAATGATCATTAACATCTTTCTGTCCAAATATAGTATTGTACATTTCATAAATCATAAGGCAAAAGATGACACAAATCATCCATATAAGGTGTGCATAGGCCCATCTAAATAGTCATGTTTGACTGTATTTATTTCTGTGTCTTCATATCAATATTCATTAATTAGTCTGGTTAATGTTTTATATATATATATAATGTGTGTTTTTTTTCCCGGTTTCTGATATATAATACTTGTCCTCTATATTGTTGGTAAATTTCATGATAAATGGACCAAAAGAAATGGCCCAAAATTACCTGGAAAAAAGTCTGGTTCCCTTGACTTACATTAAAATTAAAACATGTTTTTCCTTCTCCTGTAAAGTTCTCATTTTCGAGATTCAAGTTTTTTCAAACAGTACATTTTGATACAACAATATTTATTTATTTTCTCAAAAAAGTGAGAAAAATTGTAATTTGCCGTGACACAAGCCCTTTAAGATTCGTAAAGTCTGGGTGTGCGGTACCTGTTGTAGTTTGTTCTCTATGGTAGAGAGTGTGACCGGTGGTGGGCTCTCTGGGGGGAATTCGGTGGGATCCGGGGCCCTGAAATCCGGCGGCCCCTCAGAGGGGGTGGTGGGTGGAGGAAGGTCTGCACTGAAGTCTGAGTCAGAGAAGCTGCGCTGGGTTGGTGATGGTGCCTCCTCCCTCTGCGGGGGGCTGTGTGCGGAGTAGCGTGGGGATCGTGGCTCTGGGACGTGGAGGATGGGAGGCAGGGCATATTCAGGCTCCTCCTTCAGGGCTGGCTCGGGGCTGGGGCTTTGTCTGGCGGCTGGTTCTGAGGAGCGGGCCAGCGCTGTGCCCCGGCGTGTGATGGTGCCTGGCTGGCTGGACATGGGCTCCTCCAGGTCCTCATTATCTGTGTAGGCCTCGCCATCTGTATAAGCCTCACCATCGGTGTCCTCGTAGTCACTGGCTCCGCTGAGGTAATCGGTGTTGTTGGAGCGGCTGAGTGCGTCCAGTTCCTCATCACCACCACCCTCCAGCTACATACACAGAGAATCATGCTGAAGTTATGCAATGCAGTGTTGAGTAAATTACTTAAAATGTGTAGTTCAGTAGTTACATTACATGACTAAGAATGTACTCAGTAATATGATATTTTAGATCACTTAAAGGGCCCATATCCTACATTTGTCTTGTGTTATTTTTTTCCACAGAGGTTCACCTTTTACCAAAAACTGTAGTAATTCATGTCTATATGACCATTTTCCAACCTCTTTTTATCTCTTAGAATTAAAAAGACTGTTTTTATTACTGTGCCTTTAAGACTGATATATGTAAATTATGTCTCTTCTGACTGGCTACCCTGAATCACGACTCTTGACATACAAAAACAGTCCAGGCTGAAACATTCCTTATATCTTCAGTGCAAAGGGACAAGGCTAAACTTTAAACTTTTTCCTTTAGTCTGGATAGGCAGGTTTATGTAAATGTGTTGTTTTTTATTACATCATATTATTGGAATTATAAAAATTCTTAATAGTGCATCCCTAGAAGACACAGCCTTAATATTCCCTGTATAATAAACTGTTATCAGTCATAGTGACAACTATTATGCAGTCTATGGGCACACACAGTAAATCAATGACTCAGTTAACACTGTCCAGGCAAAAACATTAGAAAAGTAAGTGTAACCTGATGCAGCCTGTGCATATTTTCAAAGGTATTCAGTTACAACTATTTGATTTTTGTAATCCCAATTGCATGTAGTCTGGTACTGCTACTTACTTACCCTGAGAATTTAATCAATGGCCAAGTTTAAAGGTACCCCTGAATCTACTGTATGCATCTGCACTTCCAAACAGTCAATAACAATGCTTAGTATATTTAGAACACTGGACCAAACTGCAGCCTAACTGTTGACTTAAGAACCTCAGCGCTCCATGTACTGTCTGACCGAGTCAGGAGGCTCAATCTTGAATGGTACAGGTCACAATATACAGCTTAGAGCAGAGAGAGAAAATCCTTACCGTCACTTCTGAGACCCAGACAGGCTTAGACTGCTGTTGGCGAATCTTCTCTTTGAGAATTTCATACCACACATTTGAAGTTGGCTGCAGATCAATACGTCCTAAAGAATAAAGGAAGAGCAAAATATGATGTGTGTATTACAATATGATACACAGTGCTGTATATACAGTAAATAAAATGTGACAACTGTTCAGACACACAGGCGTAGATTTACAGAGGACAGGAGGGCTGTGGCGTCGGTTTTTGGAGAGGAGTGAGTTATTATATAGTTATATAGCATTATATTTATTATAGCACATCCTTAACATTAATATTTAGCCCTAACACTAATCATATAATGAGTTGAATGGCATGAGCTGTGTCACTCTTAATGTTGAAATGAAAGTTACGGTACTGTTTAATCATAAGAAAATAAATTAAATTAAAGAACAAAACAAAGTCGCTTTTATACAGAAGTGCATGTGTGCCTACCAGCAAAAATGTGGCTGTAGTGTTTCCTCAGTTTCAAGGCTTGTGCGTAGAGCTTGCGTGAGCTTTTGTTGGAGTGGGGAGAATATCTCTGTCTCATAGTTTTCACATCTTTGCGACTGTGTGGGTCCAAGAACAGCACGATTGGGTGATACTGAATATAACTGAGCCTCTCCACTGCAGTGGGTGTGATGTCCAGCAGGGGGTGCTTGTCCTGCAACAGAGAATTAAGTGGTATTTGAGTACAACCAGAGCCTCATCATTTATAAGCAAGAAATAGTGCCACACTGATCTGACATCTTAGATCATCTTGTACATCTTATAAAAGGCAAGGAAATGACGCTCAGCAGCAACTAATATACCTGTTCTGCTATTTTTCTCACTGTGTCCAGTTTAATGACGGAGGATGAGCTATCTCC